TATATATATGTATATTAAAAACATCTTTTGGGGTTGGCATAAGCAAGACACCTATAAAATGCTACACTTCCCTTGCTATCTTCAAGTGAATGCCATTTTTCATTATTCAGTGGTGAATGCTAGTGTGTAGAGTTTGGTATCAGACATAGAAAGCCACATTGGTACAGTGATTGTCACAACACAAGGCCCTAAGACTTTATCATGGACTGTTTAGACAGGAAAGCATACCAGCAATTAATACTTTCAAGTTAAATTGGGCCTATATGAAGGTATTTGTTAGAAAAAATTTAAATGCAAATAAATATATGTTCTGGGAAGGAATATGCATCTGAAAGAGAGCAGGAGAGGGAATAACAGTGAACACACAGTAGAGAGCTTGATGTCTCCTATTTGTCAATTTGCTTAAAATATATTTACCGAGTATTGCCAAGTGGCCGGCTTTAAGTTGGTTATGGACTCTCGTGGAATGCAAGTTGCAGGGGAAGAGTGAGACAAAGGCAGTGCATGTAAGGAGAGCTCCAGCTACATTACTAAAATTGTGTATGTGTTGATACTTGACGGAGTAAAGTCGGAAGGGGGCAACCTTGGAAGCTAACCCTTAAGATAGGGTCTGGGCAAAAAGTAGGGGTTATTTGGGAGGCAGTTTGGAAGCATTGGAAGCAGAGAGAACAGCAGCAGAGATGGCCATGCAGCAGGACAACACTGATACGTTGGGGAAGCGGAAAGAAGTGATGTGGCTGAAGCACTGTAATCGAGTGATAGTGACATCAGATTGAGGGAGAAAGATGGAGTCAGTTCCAGATCACCTGGGATTCCGGACCACGGCAAGCACTGAGCTGCTGCTCCTGAGCACAGTGAGAACTACAGAGATTTACATGGGAAATTGGCACAGCCAGCTTTGTGTTTCTACAGTGTACCACTGCCACACCCTGTGGAAAATGGAGGAGGAGAAAACGAACGTGTGCCCACAGCAGAGACAGAAAAGAGATGGGTGATCACATAGAAGAGAATGACAGTGACTTTCACTAGAGTGTTGTAAGAAAGGGGAAGAAGCACACAAAGGTTAGATATATGCGGAAGTAAGTTCTACGCATAGCTCCCAAGTCACTGGCTATGGGGAGAGGGCGACAAAAGAGAGAAAGAGAATGTGTTACTTGAATTGGAATTTTACACAAAACGTGTTGATTATAAGAATGTCTCACGCAATACTTGTACCATACTTATACCAAAAGCAGTCACTGTCTACCTGATATTGAAGGTTAATGGGGTATCTAGTTTATTTGCTTCACCTGATAACCTTAGCAAGAGTGGTGTCTTGGTTTTAGCCAAGAGTAAGAAAAAGTATGGTTTATGGAGATGAACAAAATTGGACTAGGTAGAATTTAGAGAAAAAGAATCATGCTTTGATCGTGTAGGTAGAACCCTCATAGGTAGAAGAGAATCTACACAGTTGGCCATCAGAGGGAGGTGATGTGGTATCTATTTTAAACTCAGTAGGAAAGTTGGCTGGAATTATTTTTGCACTGAGATCTAAGTGATAAGAAATCAAGAAGAAGGGGAAGAATACCCTAGTCAGAAAGAATAGCCCAGGGATAGAGGCATGTGCCCGACTAGAAGATGAGTGTGACAACTACAGCAGGAGATTACAGTGAGGAAAGGCAGAGACATAGGCAAGAGACGGGTAATGCAGGCAATGCAAGGAATTAAGATGAAGTCTACCCTTTTGTAAAGGGAAGCTATTGGAGGTCATTAAGCAATGTAAGCAGCTGATCTTATTTAAGCTTCTGAGACCTCATTCTGCTTGTGTGAAAGGAATTAATTACAAATAAGGAGACCAACGGATAGATAGCAAAGTGTCCAGGCAAAGAATGGTGATGACTTAGAGGAGGACGGAAATAGTAGAGGCAGAAACAAATGGGTGAATTAGGCACATTTACAGGACTAGCTAAGGGAGTTGCTGGTCAATTGGAAGACTAAGGTCAAAGACAGAAACAAAGCTTACTCCTAAAATTTCAGGCTAGCCAAACCCGACAGAGAGAATACTGCCATTCTGAGAAGGAGAAATTGAGAGAAGGGCAGATCTGGTGAGGAAAATGAAAGGCTTTCTCTCACTTAAATTTGAATGATCTATTTCTGACCTATGTGGGGATATCAAGTAGGCTGCTGTCTATATGTTGGGTGAGAACTCTGGGAGTAGCTAACAGAGCCAAGATTAAGACCTACAGTTAGCATCAAGCTCTAACATGCATGGGAGTGTTGCTATCTGTCAAGTACTGTTCTCAGTGATCCTTGGGTACTACTTCACTGCATCCTCATGTAAACCTACATCCGGCTGATGTAATTATTACAAATTTTTTCAAGTGATAAAGTGAAGCAGAAAATTATTGGGAAACTTTCGAAATTTCACATAGCTTGATAACAAGAGTCAGGATTTGAACTCAGGGAGGCTCCATTCAGAAGGAGAAAGGGGAAGAAGTGAAAGAAGAAAAAGAAAAAATAGGGATGAGGAGGAGGAGAAGGAGAGAAGATAAAGATTGAAAAGAACAGTGACAATAGAGTCAATAAAGTAAAGAAAAAACAGTATTTTGTGTTTGGCATGGGCCAACTTCCTAAAGACAGGGACATTTTAAGAAATAAGATAAATGGAAATTAATTCAAACTCATCAGAGACATTTTCTGAACTTTCAGAAGGTCCAAAATCACAAAGCAAGCGTAAGACGATGATGTCAAGACACGGAGAAGGGGACAAGGGCCTTTCAAAGGTGGGGAAGTACCATAGAGAAGCAGTAAGATTCTGTTACAGGCTTCTTGAATTTTATATGAAAGCACAACAGAAATGAAGCTATAGAGGGACAGTGTTTTTCAGTGAGTCAAAGTGCTGGAGTGAGTTGGGCTGGAATGTTTAACTGAGTAGCTTTGTCAACCAAGTCAGAATTGGAAACCATCACTGAGAGAGGGGCTATGGTTATGTGCAGTGGGGATGTGACTGACTGATTGATTGATTGATTGCGGAACCGAGGATTGAACTCAGGCCTTTGTGCTTGCCAGGGAAGTGCTTATTCCACTGAGGCATCTCTCTGGCCCCAGGGGATGTGATTGTGTCAGTGGATCTGCCAAGAAAACCCTACATGATCCACAGCCAAAAGTTGTCACACCCTGCTTGTTGGTGATATTTCCCAAGATGTTCTTCCTTAGATCTCATGTTTGTATTCAAAATATAGTTTTTAAAAATGTGTGTATATGTGTGTGTATATATATTTTTTTGGGGGGAGGGGCAGATCCTGGGATTGAACTCAGGCCCTTGCACTTGCCAGGGAAGCCCTTATTCTACTGAGCCATCCCCCAGCCCCCAAAATGTATATATTTTGAAAAACTTAACAGAATTCTCAACCATTCATAGCAGCAAGCGCATAAATTCGAGGCACCACTTGCGTGTTACCTATGGCACAAGGGTGAGAGGAGAGTTCTCTGGACAATAAAAATATTTGAGAAGTTTGTTAACTCTTCTTACTTTGGTGTCGTCAATGCTGCTCATGGCAATGTAAGGGGTGAAACAGGCAGCCAGCGGTACCCAGAAGAATGCAGTGCTCAGGGACCAGTACCCGTTCGGCATATTCTCCTGAAATCATGGGGAACATGATGAGCAAGTGGCAGTGCTCGGCTGGTTCATTTGAGCTGTCTTACCTCCACTAGTCGGCTAAAGGAAGTGGGTGAAACACTCACGACCCTGCCCAAGGCGCTGTTTGCAATTTCTTACCCATACTCATTTTCAAACCTGTGTTGCAGACACTTGAACGTTTTAGACATGCATTCTGATGTACTTAAGAAGGACAAACCCCAGCAGACAGTAGGAGTTGGATAAGGTCTTACGGTTAACAACTTATGAGAAGGGCGTGAAACACCTGCTTTTTGTCTTTATGGCTACAGCGTGGCATATGCCAATTATGTACACACCAGTTCAGCCAGTTCTCGGAGTGCCTGAAAGTTGGATATCCTCTAGTGGAAAGTTTCTTTTTTGCCTTGCTTACAATTGAACTTAATACCTTCACTTTGAACTACATCACCAGACCTTTTAGTTGTGTGTTTATTTATGTATGTATTTATTTACTTTGAGATAAGGTTTCCCTAAGTCTCTGAGTTGTCCAGGCTGGGCTCAAACTTGTGATACGCCTGTTTCAGCCTCCTCACGTGCTAGGGAAATTTCTTTTACAGACTCCCGAGGAAAATAACAATAAGAACAATAATGATAAGAAACATAATGTACCAGGCATCTAGCATTTTGTATGTTTATGTCCTGTCCCTTATTCTTGTAGTGATAACAACTATTATAATAACATAATAATACTGCTATACTGTATAATCCTATAGTACTATACAATATTATAATAGCTCTCACAATAATATCAGCCTGGTGTTCATACTGCCTCACCTATTTCAGGAGAAGTTTTTGTAATGAGGTTTTTATCTGATTTTTGGTTCACAAAAGCCTTCAAAATTCTGGTATTTTAAGGCTCCAGAGTTTGACTTTGAGAACTTCAGCTGTTTCAGCTATGTCCCAGGACCTAGGCCTGTAGGAGTAAGAGATCTAAGACCAAGGGTGGAAATTTTTGCCAAATATCTGTACTTTCTGTTACTCCACTGACTCTAGGTAAACTGACCGAGACTATAAAGTTTTGTAATCATTCCTAAATTGTGTGCATATTAACACATAGTGACATACATAGAACATAAACCTTTTTTAAAGATAGATTCCTAAGAATCAAAATCTTATTTACACATTTCAAAGACATTTTTGAGAACTCCTATTAGCTTAGTTTAAATGATATAATATACTTACTGGAAAAAATGTGCTTCTACCAGTCTGAATGTGTTCTGTAGAATTAAAAATTCCAAGTAACCCATTGCTAATAATATCCATGAGGACAGGAAAGCAATTTAGCCTCTTGGTATTGCAGGCTATTGAAAATCTGTGATCCTAAAATAAAGTTGATACTTTTAAATTTGCAAAAAGCTAAGAGAAATTTGAAAAATGAATTGATAAAAATTTACTGACAAATAGTAAAAGTCAAAGCACAAATGTGATTAGTAGTGCCAGGCCAGATATTATTTGACTTATTTTTAGTACACCTGAAAGAATCCAGGAACTTTGATTTTTACCATAACATCAGCCATGTGTCTGTTCGCGCCTAAATCTCACCAAAAAAATGTACCTCAAGTGAATTTCAGTAGCTTCATTTCCAAATGAGCTGTATTTATAAGTAAAGAACATGCAGATACTTGGGAAGCAGGACACATGCATGTAGTTGCAAAGAAAACATATGTTTTAACACATACTAAGCTTATTTGTAAAAGCTGTTTTAAATGACATATAACTATTGTACATCTATATGTAGCACACACACACACACACACACACACACATATATATATATATATATATATATATATATATATATTTTTTTTTTTTTTTTTGCTTATTCCTGGCTTAGGGAAAAAGTATCTACATTGCTAAAGATAAGGGTAAGCATTGGTAACACAGTTTTGCAATCATAAATAAATCAAATACCCAACCCAACTACCTAAAGCAAAACTTTTTTAAAAACTATCTTTCTTGCAGAATGGAAACTAACTCAACCAGGACCTACAAAGGACTAACCCTGAATGAAGGCGATTTCTTAATTTATTTTCGGCATGGAAATGTTTTCCTAAAAATTAACTTTGGTGAGGCCGGGGAGATGGCTCAGTAGAAGACGCGCTTCCCTGGCAAGTGCAAGGGCCTGAGTTCAATCCCCAGTTCCGCTAAATAAATAAATAAATAAATAAATAAATAAATAAAATAAATAAAACTTAACTTTGGTGAACCACAAATTGTGAAATGGCAATTTACTCTTTTCAATAAACTGTCTCATCTTTCCCAATAGTCTATTTTTATACTCTGTAACTCAAATTATTACAGGGTCTAGGTGACATACATTTACTATAAAAATACAGCAAGCTCAGGGGAGGGGCCAAGGTTGAATTAGGCAGTTGTTTTCAGTTACAACTGAGAGTAGGATTTAAATTAACTACTGGAGTGTGGTCCTATTATATAATCAAATAAATTATCATTATTGCAGTTGATTAGATACTGTTACTCTGGAGGCTATAGGCAAATTATTGTAGCAGAGCCCTCTCCTAGACCCCCAATATATGTGTCAATCTGGCCTTCTAGGTTAGTTGATTGGAACTGATCATATTGTACATTCACAATCCCTCTCTGGTGCTCTGTAGCGGACCCAACACACCTGTTCATCGCCGGACACAATGATGGCTCCGTTGTAAGATGACTCCTCTGTGCCATTTCTTGTTCCAAAGGTGTCCACTTCCAGAGCTATGTTCTGTTGTCTCAGTGATTGTATAAAGTTCTCAATGCTGGACCCTACCATGAGCATTAAGATCAAAGAACACAGAGATGAAACAAAACAACAAACAGTCTCATAAAAAAAAAAATTAAAACTAAATACTATTCCTCAAGGCCTGCCATGCTGTCTATGGATTTACTTGAAAGGTAGACTCTGGGGTACAGTACCATCCTGTTACCATGGGCAAGATAAGCTTTCTTTACCTAGAACCTGGCACTAACTTACAATTTCTACTAGTGTAAAAATACTGGGTTGAGGCTATAGCTCCGTAGTAGGACACTTCTCTAGCATGTACAAGGCCCACAGGTTTTGTCAGCAACCAAGTAAATAACAATAATTACAACTGATTAACATTGCAGTCCTTGACACTGGTAATCTTCTATGTTCTTATAACTTTGGAACAAAAATATCTTTCCAGGTCCCAGCAATTCACAGACTTACAAAATGACATAGAAAAGACTTCAAAAGTGAGTAAATGATTTACATGTTTAAATTTCCTTTGGTTGCTTTGTGTGATAGCCTTTGGGTTTAAGCACACTTCAGAATGTGTTTCTAAAACAAACTCTCTAATCTTGAACTTTTTTAAAAAAAAATTAACTTTCCATTTGGCCTCTTAAGCTTTTTCAAAAGCAGTGAGAACTGCTTTTTCTTTATGGCTTACAGGAGTCTTTCAACGACAACATTGACAAGAAACATTTCAGCGCCATGTTCACCTGTTTTGTTGATGATCAGCAAACATGTCAGAGGGTCTTGTGGAATTTGTCCTGGTGAGAGGAAGTACGTATCTGGAGATAGTCCCCAGGAGTAACTTTTTTGATTTAATTCAAACAGTATGTGTTCCAAAAGTTGAGGGAGAAAGCTAACCCCCCAAAGCAATAACCTATGCGAAAGAAGATATGAAAAAAACCACCTTATCCACAGCAAATTTTTGAGATTACTAGTTTGAGCAAATAATGAGCATCATAATAGAAGTAAATGTACTAAATAAACATTTGAATGAAGCCTTTTTCTCTAAGTGGTTCTTATGCATCTACCTTTTGTCTTTTCATCTTGTAGCTGTTTAGTCCTGTCTTGCACATTACATTTGGCCCTGTGAAGTTGGCTTGTCATGACTTTGTTTTTCTTTTTTTTTAAATTAATTTTATTGAGAAACAAATAACAATGAGACAGTTTCAAAACAGGTTAGTAGGACAGTTACATTAATTAATACATTGCATATTATTGCCTTTGTAGTGGTTATTCATAGCACAACATGCAGACATGATATCCTGTCCGAACACTATTAGTACAAATCTTTCTTCTCATTGAATTAAGAGAAAGTAGCTGTATATCTATCCTAACTATTTTGTATATACAGATACAAAATGGTCCATTTATATCCTCTTTTTTTGTTTAGTTTTGTCAGAGATGAGTATTCCATTGCCATTTCAATATTCTAGGTGCATGAATTCAGCAAAATAATATCATGACTTTTTTTTTCAAATCAAATTGGTAGGACAGTTCAACAATTAGCACATTTGCATACATTCTTCCTAGTGGGTTATTGCTGTACAAGATGGGGACATGATATCTTATTTACAAACAGTATTAAAACAAATCCCTCTATTAATTAAGAGAATGTAGCTATATATCTATCCTAACCATTTTTAATACACAGATACAAAATGGACATTCATCTGTATACACTTTTTTTGTTAAGTTCTGTTATTTGAATATTATAGGTGAGTTAGCTCAGCAAAATATTCTAAAAGAGTCCAGTAGTCCATAAAAGTATTGGGTCTTCAGCTCCGCTGGCAATCTCAGAAATTGTGGACCTGTGTCCCCTACAGCTCAACATAACAGCATGGTTTTACTTCTTATACTTCGTTTTTATACTTTTCTGCCATGATGCAGAGTGTGCCTAAGGAACGTGACATGGAGAGAAAACATTCTCTCAGGCTTTCACAGAGCGCACATTGGCCAAGCAGTGACCGTGACTCGTCCACGTGGCTGCACTGACAAAGGTTCTCCAGTCTGAGGTACAGGATCTCGGGATAAATCCTGAGATTTCACTGACTTTATCAGACCCAAAATATCATGACTTTTAGAGCTCTCCCCAACGCCCACTTCTTGGCTCCATTCCTGCCTTGCGTTCATTCCTTTCTCTGCATCATTGCCATCTGGCGTCTCACCAGCACTCTGAACCTTTTTCCCATCTTGTTTCCAATTGATGCAAATAACATTACTTTTTCATTCACTTGGGATTCAAAGTTCAATAATTGCTCATTTATTTTTATCCCTCAAGTCTCCTTTTCAATGGCTGAAAACTCCTGTGTGTAACGGCGTTATCGCTTGCCTCCAAAACATTTTTCTGATTTGTATTTTCAAGTGGGGAATTATTGTCTCTTCTAGCATCACTATGATCTTAAATGATTACTTTCATTTTAGCCAATGCTTACTTTTTCCAAACAATTTCACAGCACTGTTCATTAATCTTCTTGTATTTTAATCAAATCAAATAAAAATAATACATTGATATGTCCTTCAAATCCAAACCCTTTATTTCTATACACCATAATCTTTTTTTTTTTTTCAGAACTAGGGATTGAACTCAGGCCCTTGTGCTTGCTAGCAATATACACCATAATCTTGAAATAATATTTATTCTATGTTGTAATGAAGTAGGATTAGTAACGTCCCATGTATTCTGTTGCTCAGTACCACTGCCTGCTTTTCTCCATGGTCCAGTGACTTTCATTCTCCTGTACCAAGTTCAAACCGTCCCTGAGCTCTTCTCTATTTGACATAATCTCTTTTCTACTAAATACCACAGTTCACAGGATTATCAATTTCATCGTATACTTATTTAGTGTATATCTAATCACCCTTCTGGGAACACTATTGCTATACATGGAAGTTGAAGATCACTCAGAGGCTGGTATGGCAAACATTTGGAATCCAGAATGGAACTACTGAGAGGTAGGAAACTGTCAGGTTGGCTGTATGCTGTATCCTTAGACCCCTGGCATGTGTTCTCAAAGGGGATGGTGAGATGTCTGTCTCTCCCTCTTTGTTTCCTGGCTTATGGTGTGCATGATGTGTTTCACCTAATAGATGATGTGTTTCACCCGTACATGATGTGTTTCACCTGCACATAATGTGTTCCACTGTACTTTCCCACAGTGATGTGTCACCCTCACCAGAGGCTCAAATTATGGGACCAAATGATATTGAGTGTGCATCTCCAGAACTATGAATAAAAGTAACCATTTTTTTCTTTATGAGTTGACTGCCTCAGGAATTTCATTATAGTGATGAGAGGTTGACTAATACAACTTTCATGGCTAATTTATTTTAGTATACATACAAACGCTGGACAACAGAGTGCTGTATAAGTTTGTGAAAATTAAAAATATTTTGGATGAATGAGTAATGTCATCATAGAGCTAGGTTTAGGAACAAAGGCAGTGTTCAGCGATGAGCCTGAAGCTGTAGGTGTGTGTGAACCGTGCAGTGGGTTTCAGATGTAGAGTGGTGCTAAAACAGAAAAACTGTAATGCTGAACTTTTACCTGAGGGTGCAGCCCGACAACTACAACCCTAAGTCTAGCCTGAGTTTCTAACCAGCTGGTTTGCTTTATGGGTTTCAGATGTGTCAGTTCCTATGACAGTGTGAGTCAATTGCTTAAAATAAATTATATACGTATTTATCGACACCCATTTGTAAATATCTATGTCTACCTACCCTATTGGTTATGGTTCTCTGAAAAGTGCTGAGAAATCCAGATATGGAAATCTTGGAGCAAGAGAGAACAGAAGCTTGGGAATGGGACGTACTTTTAAGAACTACTGTCGCAGAATTATATTTCATTTAATTAATACGTTTCATATATTAATTATATGAATTAAAAGTAATTAAAAGTTATTGCTTTAAAAAGCACCTGCAATTACCGGAATTTATTTGGTCTGACTGCCCTTTTTGTGATTCGTCCTCTTGTATCTAGTCTGAGTGCACAGATCAAACCAGTCTTGAATATTCGCACACTCACATGGCCAGGAGGCTTTTTCTTTCATTCTTCAAATTCAGGAAGCGCACTTTCGCTACGGCACAGAGCTGCTGCCTCCACAGCGCCATGCCGCCTGCTACTCTCCTTGCTCCGTGGAGAGAAGGCAGATCGTGATCCGGCTCATCGGGACTCGCCATGCCTTTTCTCCCATCACTTTGCAATTGTCCCCACATTGCAACGTCTAAAACATAAAAGCTGTCGTTTTTAAGATGCCCTTTCAGATGTGCTTTCCTTAGCTTTTCCTACTATTGTCTTGTGAACCAAAATTTCCTGAGCTAGCATCGTGGGCAAGAATACAAGTCATCTAATTCATGACGTTATTAGAGCAACTGCCAAAGAAGTTGGAGAGGAGCAAAAGGGAATGTCGGGGCGAGGGATGTGGGTCCACAGTACGCTGCTTGCCTGGCATGACCAGGACTCTGCTCCAGCACTGTAGATGCAGCAAAGCTCACTATAACCCCTAAAATCCTGCCAAGTGTATGACATTAAACACAGATTACAGAGGAATCAGGGATTATAAGTATGCTTGAAACACATTTGATCAGTTTTATAAAAATGACAAAACTTACAATGAAAAGAACTAAAAGAGTAAACACAGTGACAGCAAACCAAAACCGAGAAAATTCCCCAGCAGCGATTAGACAACAGAAATATTTTGTGAGAACTGACAATCAAACTGACAACGCTCCTTTCTTCAGCAAAAGTTTAACCCTGAAAACACCGGAAATATTACAGTCCTTTCGTATTCAAAATATTATAATAAAAATAATTGGCAACATATATTCTAATTTTCTTTTCTCTGTCTCACTAATATTCAGACAATATGATATTTCATACTTATTTTCTGCTTCATGAGGACATAACATGATACAGTGCTACACTCAGTGGAGAGTCTTTTTCTGCTTTGAGTTTTCCCATGACCAATGCCAACAGAAGTATGTAACTACATGATTCAACATAGGTTTTCAACATAAGAAAAATTGCTCATAAAAATAAAATTCAGCTTTCCTGTCTGTCTCCCTCCCCTTTTCTTTTATGACCTACTTCATTTCCTTCCTTCTTTCTTTCCTTCCTTCCTTCCTTCTTTTTTACCTGATTCATCAATAGCTGATTTTCCTTCTAATTTCAGGAATACCTCATTCAAAGTCGTCATGGAAACACCGTAATTCTCTATGCCTCTGTTAGGACATCCATCAAGATCCCTGTAGAGGTCTAGAAGTAGGCACATAGATCAAAAGGACATACTTTACGACCATGATGATAATTATATTTCTCAAAACAGACCATATTAGTGATGAGATAAACACATTTTTCATCTAAGACAAAACTGTGATATCGATGTTCCCTTCTTTCTACAATGTATCTATGCTGTGTTAGTTCCCATGCCCTCTCAAGTATAAAGGCCTAATCTAAAAATCAATTTTCTATTCTTAGAAGACCAAAAAGAATATTTGAAAAATTATTTAACATATTTTTAAATTTTGTTATAAGGAGTGGATATTATTATTATTATTATTATTATTATTATTATTATTATTATTTGAGTCAGAGTCTCACTACGTGGTGCAGATGGCCTGGGACTTGTGGCAATCCTTCTGCCTCAGCCTCCACACTCAACCAAAGGAGTGTTTCTCTCTAATCTCCAACTAATTAAAAAATTTCAGAGAAAAAAAATTCATCTTCTTATGTTAAAATTGTTAAGAAAGTATAGCTAAAATGCAAAAGAAATCATTTTCACAAATGTAATTGTCACCAATCTTCCCTAGCTTAACACATATGAAAAGGAAAGACAAAATATATACTATTTGAGTAAAGTTGATATTTAAATTATGTGTTTGATAGAAAAAACTGGAGAAGTATTCATGATTTTTAGTGAGCTGTTAAGTCCACCTGTGTGTTGCTCCTCTTTTGGTCTTTGTCTAAGTTGCTCATCCTTTCTATAATGCATTTAGTAAACGATCAGGTAAAACCGTACTGTGTGGTCTTTATAAAGATTTCTCTTCTCATAATAATACACATATCAAAGACATTATGTCTGCATCTGAAATTATCATTATTACTAAGTGAACACAATTTGTTGTGTTTTTTTTTTGTTGTTGTTCATTTATTTTCTAACTTTATGTATTTGGTACAGGGTCTCACTACGCAGCTTGGGCTGACAGTGATCCTCCTGTGTTCAGCCTCCCCAGCTCTGCAATTATAGGCATGGGCCTCCACACCCAGACTCGGTGGCTGGCTCAGTGCACCCATGGGTGAACCTTGCGTGGCCGGCATGTGGTGCTGGGGATAGAACCCCGGGCCCTGTGCTTGCCTAAGCAGGTGCTTAGTCCACTGAGCTATCTCGCTGGCCCTCAAAATGAACACTTGCGGTCCTTTCTCAGCATATCTAAGATGAGGATGGATCACAAGGTATGATACAGAGCATCCCTGGCGCATCACAATCAAGGTTATTTTGTGCCTTATGAAATATCAGAGGCATCCCCTATCAGGCACTCTTCTAAGCGCTTTCCTTGTATTTCATATGTTAGCAATACCTTTAAGTGTATGCAACAACTCAACTCTCCTGATGACTTGCTAAAGCCTCTTGCCACCATTCTCATTTTACAGATCAGAGACTGCAGTACAGAAAAGAACTATAGTTAAGTCCTTGAGATCCTGCTTTTCTTTTACTTGTATTATATCTTTCTCTTTGTATTTTTCTTTTGAGTTCTTATACTAGGGAGACTATATGATATTTACACAATTTCTGACATTGCCAGTGAAGAGGAAGACCCAATACTATTATGGGCTACTGGACTCTTTTAGAATATTTTGCTGAGTTTACACACCTATAATATTCAAATAACGGAGCTTAACAAAAAAAGGGGATACAGATGCATGTCCATTTTGTATCTGTGTATTCAAAGTGGTTAGGATAGATATATAGTTACATTCTCTTAATGAATAGAGGGATTTGTTCTAACAGTGTTTGTAAATAGGATCTCAAGTCTGCATCTTGTACAGCAATTAACCACTAAGAAGAATGTATGCAGTGTGTTAATTATTGAAACTGTCCTACCGATTTGATTTGAAACTGTCTTGTTGCTATTTGTTTATCAATAAAATTGTGGCAAAAAAAAAAAAAAACAAGAAAAGAAAAGAACTACAACATGCTCAGGACCGCACGGCAGTAATGGCGCAGCCAGGATCTGAGTCCAGGTCTTCTGACCCCGGCGCTTGTGCTGCATTGAGAAAGAGTTAAGGAGATTCACTTACGGTACGTAGGTTCGTGAACACCCCGTGTGCTGCTTCCCTGTGGATCATGAGCATGGCTTACTCAAGTAAGCATCTCCAGGATCCTCCCTCCATTAAGACTGGGAAAGTACCTTGGATTCAATTATTTATAAGCTGTCTGGCATTTGAAAAGCAATCTGCTTTGAAACTGATGGAGGCAGGACTGGGGAGATGGCTCCGTAGAATAAGTGCTTGCCTGGCAAGCCAAGGGCCTGAGTGCAATCCCGGGTTCCACCAAAAAGAAAAAAAAGAAAGAAAGAAACTGACGGAGGCACATGGGCAAACAACATCTTGGAAAATGCAAGAGAAAAGTGCTAAATACAATGTCCCTCCAAACTTTTTTTTTTTTAATATTTGGTAAAACTTATTCCAGTTTCTACCTGAGACAAAAGGCAGCATTCCAATTACACCAAACTGCAAACAGCTTGTCACCAAACAAAAGAACCTCATTCTACAAACGACTGTGGCTGTGTTCCAGAAATACAGCAGTTATCTTTACCCTGACCCACAGCCTGTGTGTTGTAGTTATCACCCCAAAATCCGATACAATTTGGTTCTCGTCATTTGATGCTTTCTGAAGGACTCAGAAGGCAGTAATTAAATGGGCAAAAGGAGAAAGAGGAGTGAACACAGAAATGAGTCGCAGTAACTCAAATTCCCACAAAATAAATCATGAAGAATATTTTTGGCTATAGATTTTGAAAGCACAGTTATTTTTCTGGATGTGAAGGGAGGCACTGCGCATGGGAACAACTGTCATTTTTTTCTGGGTAGTGCAGCTTTGGCCTTCACAGTTGCTTTTGCTAGAACTGTGTAAACAGGCATTGGTGACAAAAATTAAAATCAAATGAGTCAGAGGGAAAGAGAAGAAAATAGGTTTTTCCCACTTGACTCGGATTGCTGGATTGACTCTCTATTTACAGTATGGATACCTACGACGGAAATACCTTCTTTTAATCTTCCTCACCTTGCACAACCATCTGCCTGGACTTCGATATGCGTGAGCCACTGATCTTTTCCTTGTTGCCTACCTAATCATTCATTCAACGCCTCATGGATGAAAGTGGCCACCTCTGCCTTTGCACAGCCTTAGTTCAGCCTCCACTGTCTCTCCCATGTCAGTATGCCCTCCAACCTGCCTGTCTGTCTGTCCTCTCTTCTGATCCCCATCCTCAATTACACCTCTGGTACTGTTTTAAGACTGCCATCTGATTACAATCTAGTTGTCTCCTCAGACCCTGCTGGGTTAATTTCTAGCTCTTTTGGGTAGCAAACCTCCTTAGGAGCTGTCTTGTCCTCGTCCACTTTTGCAGCGCTGAGAAAGATTTTGCAGCCTAGAAATACTTTGCAAGCCAAAGTATTTTTGAAGGAAAAAAACCTTGTTTTATTTATATGTTCATTTGCAATACTAATTATTAGTAACGATTGCCTATTTTTATGTTCCTACCTTCCCTCACACACTCTTATGTGAATTTTTTGTTCTTATTTCTTTGTTTTACCTGGAAGATTATTTTTCCTCCAAACTTTTGTAGATACAGCAAAATTGTAAATTTTAGAATGTTCATTAGCGGTCCAGGTTATAGTTATGTTTGATGCCTTACCCTTACATTATGACATTTACAAATCTACATACTGTACACGAAGCTCCTTAACCCTCTGCCAAGAATTCTCCTGTGTTCACAGACCACTTCCTGCCCTAACTAACCACTTTTTCGCATGGATTCCTGAAACGGTTTTCCCAAACTATTCATTAGCGCGATGCTGTCCTGTGCCTCTGAATTGCACATTTGGGAACTCAAAGCATATTTGCCTGAGTGTCTGTTTACAGAGAAGTGATGCGGAGATAATTGTAAGAGATATTAGGAGGGATCTGGCCTTGGGGGTATTACATGAGCTAACACCCGGAGTTTTGTACTTAGAAGGCGTTAACACTGCCCATCATTCCTACCAGCCTCGCTATCACTAGGAACCCCATTTGCAAATCATTCTGTGGTCTCTGCATTCTGTACCTGGAAATTTGTTTGTCCTCTCCAGAGGCAAAACATAAACAAGTTTTTCTTCACTTTGCGCTGTTAATTTGGCATCAGGGATGTGCTGTTTAACCAGTGACGTGATGCTCCCTCGATCACACGTTTCATTCAGATGTAAACTAACATTTAAAAGAGAGTAAGTTCAAGTTATTTTTATCTAGACAATCTCTAAAGACAAGTTCTTATCTGCATAGCGTATGCTTGTCACTTCACTAATACTTATGAGACTGAACATGTATAATTTGCAGGCAGAAAAGGATGTAATAATAACTCTAGTCTGATCTTAGTTTATTCAGCATGGCAGATAAACTAGTGAAAGGGAAAACTATACTTAAATAAACCAACTCAAAGACTGTAATCTGAATAAAGGATACTAAGCAAAATCTGGCTGGGTGAAGGCAGAGGGTAACACTTGATTTTGTCTGTATGCAGAAACACAAACTTGAATTTTCCCTTTGCTGTGATGTACACGTGCTGCAAGAATTTGTGGACTTCAACACCATAAAGCAAAACTGGAGGTAATTTGCATAGTCTTTAAAAACATGGTTTGAAGGCCATACTAATGTCCGGGTCCAGGACTTGAGCAACTGTTTGACATATACAAGCACCAGTTTTCTCATTATGAGATGAAAGAATACTCATGTGTTGAAAGCACTGTTAAAGGTAAAATATAACATTACAGTTCGTATGAGATAGTTCAAGGTCTTCCACTAAGCAAACTCTTACTACTGTTAGGTAATTTTATCATTTTTGCGTGCAACATTTCATCAAGTGAAAGTTGGTCTTGTAAAAAGAAGGTGTATATTCTTCACGAAATTATTGGGATTTTGGAAAACCCATGTTAGTCATATCCACTGAAATTACTGATATGATAGAGTGCTGAAAGTATCCCAAGTGACTGATGACACAAACTGAAAAATCATTTTAAGAAATCCAGCCTGTCCCTCTGAGGCCCTGTGCTTCGCGTTACCAAGGACACCAACTGGGAAGAATGCAGGACCTTCTGAAAGGAGCTTATAATGTAGCGATAACTCAGCACAGTGTGGTACAAAAGAAGGGAGGGAGGTGGGAGTCCAGCTGACTCAGCTTATGTACCTTGCCCCGAGCCAGGTCCTGACTCATTCCCTATTGCTTAGGCTGAGCTATTAACTAGGGCTTATTACTACTGCTGGGCAAAATGAAGTTACTAAGGATGAGAGGGGTTAATCAAGTTGCCCAAAGCAACAAACAATTCAAATTAGCTATTTTAAGGTTCTAGAACACAAGATTCTCACTAAAGAGGAAAAGTTCAATGATAACCTTCAAGAATGGATGTAAAATTTGGACATAAATGGACTGGAGGAGCGTTTGGCATACAGGTGTCACCCCTCAAGCAGGGACATGCCCGGCGGGCCACAGCAAGTGGTCCTGTTTTGTCGGAGGGTGTGAAGCAATTGGATCGTGACAAGCCATAATGATGGGCTATAGATCCGATTAGATTAGACACTCAGTGAGATGCAATTCACTGTGGGAGATAAAGTGATTTAAATTGCTTTAAGACTGTTAATATTTTAGAAGGAAATACAGTAAGCTTGATTTTGATCCAAAGACTCTATCACTTACAAACAATATGAGATGGATGGGTTACTAAACCCTGGGCATGCTCTGGTCTGACTTGTCAAAGCAGGATAGTAATAGCATCTTCATAAGTTTCTTTGTAGAATGAAATAGGGTAATATGAATATTCTATATTTATTTATTGTTCAATCGATTTGCTTATTTATTTATTTATTTATTTATTTGGCACAGGTCTCACTACACAGCTCAGACTCATAGTGATCCTCCCATCTCAGCCTCCCCAGGGCTGGGATTACAGGCATGTGCCACCACACCCAGTTTTGGTGGCCTGCTAGGTGCCCCTGAGGTTCTGGGTCCAGCACAGCATGTGGTGTTGGGGATTGAACCTGGGTCCTTGTGCTTGCCAGGCAGGCCCTTAGACTGCTGAGCTATCTTCCCAACCCCGAATATTCTACATTTGGATATGATAGCTAGTGCCTAAGATGTAGTCAACATGTAATAAGTAATAAATGCTACCTGTTGATAATTATTATCATGACAAAAGGACCTAGAAAAAATGGCTGAAAAAAGATGAAGTCCTCAGACAGACTAGAGAGGAGGGATCTGCTGTGTTGTCAGAATGAACATACATATGCTTCTGACATCTGGTGAGATAAAATGTTCAAATATCAACAAGTTACTCTTAACAAGTAGCATGTTAGGAAAATGTTTTTCCAACATTTATTTAAAGCTAGATTAAGGGCAGGCAAATAGCTCAGCAGATTAAAGCACCTGCAAGCAGGCATAGGGGCCAGGTGTTTGATCCCTGGGCCTGCCATGCCAGCCCTGCCCCCTGGGGCATGCTGAGATGGCGATTGAGACTGGGCATGGTGGCGCGTGCCTATAATCCCAGCTCTTAGGTGGCTAAACACAGGTGGATCACTACAAGTCTGATCTAGTAGTGAGACCCTGAATGCCCTGTAGACCCTTCCCTAAAATACACACACACACACACACACACACACACACACACACAAAAGCTAGATTAACCATCCTTGCATTTTCCAACATCCACAATCTCACCTTCCCCCAGCATTTTCAGCTTACCCCAACGTGCTTTGAACATCATGAGCCATACCTTAGATGGTAGCCAATGCCCCATCTCTTCTTCAGGAACAGGGAAGAGCCAGCACACTTCAGCCTGCCGTGGGATATAAACACCTTCCTGTCTAATTATAGGAACCAAAATGGAAAGTGCATTAAGGAATTATTCCTTCACTATTCATAAGTGAATGAACTAACAAACAATGCTCTTTAGGCACCTGATATACTAAAAGAGAGACATTCTTTTTTTTTAATGTGTACCAATTTTATGTTCGGGGCATAGAGGAGAGCAGAGATTTTTTTTTTTTTCTCATCACATGAACTTAGGCCAAGCACGATGGTAATTATCAAACAATGAACAATACAACTGCCACTATACTGTACGGCTTAATACTTTTCTGATATGTGGACAGAGTTGAGCAGCTTTAAAATAGAGACATTCTAATTAGAAAAGTTATCAAGCATGTGAACGACGTGTTTCAAGCCAACTGACATCCCTCTCAAATTATACTGGGTATCTTACAACCTCTGCTGCTGTGTAATTGAAGCAGAATATGGCCAGAGGACAAAGTACTAGAGGGTACAGGTATGCAAAGTTCTCACCAGTCAAGTGGCCAGCGAGATTGAGATTAGGAAGCCTATTTCTTTATTGTCTACACATGCTCCTAACTTTACCCGGAGATATGTGGATGAACCCCAAAAATTACCAGCTAAGATATCCGCCTCATCCATGAGCTGTGTGCTGAAGAGAATCACTCGGTCGGCCTTTCTCTCTTTCAAGAGATTCCACATGTGGTGCCTGGAAAGAGGATCCAGTCCAGCGGTGGGTTCATCCAACAGCAAAACCTGAACAGTAAGAAAGAAAAGACTTTGTTTCCTATCAGGCAACATTCCTCTAGAAAGCACTGTGCTTGCAAGACTATTGAGAAGAGTCACCTTAGTGCTTCATGTTTCATTGAAACTTTATCTTACATTTATTGCTTGTGAATTGTCTGATCTAATGCAATCATGCCAGAGTCAGAAATTTGATTTCACAAGTAGTGTTATGTCAGCTTACCTGAGGATCTCCTAAAATGGCAATCCCAAAAGTTAGTTTCCTTTGTTGACCACCACTTAAATTTTGAGCAAGAATGTCCCGAATATTTTCCATGTCTAACTCCCGTAGGATTTTCTGTACCTAATCAAATAAAGAACATTTAGTCCCAGCTCCAGAGTATTTATTTTGAAAACAATATTTTTTTCTATCCTGAGAGAGGGCCTTTTTGTCTAAGCTTTCAGTGATGAGTTGCATACAAAGAACACACACAGGGGCTGGGGAGATGGCTCATGGGGCCGGGGAGATGGCTCAGTAGAATAAGCGCTTCCCTGGCAAGCGCAAGGGCCTGAGTTCAATCCTCGGTTCTGCCAAAAAACAAAAATGAAAAACAAAAAACAAACAACAACCAAAAAAAACACCACACACTTGGAATTCTCTAGATACACCATTTCATCTTTGTGGCTGTGTGACAACTCATATACCTCTTGCTCCACTTCCTGGGGCAAAATCCCTTTGACGTTAGCAAACAGCCTGAGATTTTCTCTCACGGTGAGAAAGCCAAATTGCACATTGGACTGTGGACAAACTCCGATGAGCTTGCTGATAGTTTCAAAATCAGCCATTTCTGAAAGTGTGTGGTGATAGATGGTGACAGACCCTGGAAGTGGAAAGTAGAGAGGCACCCTCAGAAGAAAGCAGCACGCTGTGTGGAAGACATTTTTCAAGTGGAAAGTAAGATATGCAGATTACTAGGTCTCCTTAAGCATATTCCGCTTGTAAGCAATACACACTTGAAGGATTAAGAACTTAATATCATAAAGCCATCAACAAAATATTTAAAAGGCAGCATTCTCTTAAGGAAATGCAATATATATCCATAAAGGTAACTTAAAGAGTCTCCTGAAGCTGTTTCTTAAATAGGTACAGAAAAGCATAAAAATGGTTCATACTAAAAAATGTACCATATAATGAATAGGTATATATAGTATAATATTTTTTTTTCTGTATTTTTAGAGAAGGGTCTACAGGCTGTTCAGGGTCTGACTACTAGATCAGACTCATAGTGATCTGCCTGTTTACAGCCTCCCAAGAGCTGGGATTATGGGCGTGCACCACCATACCCAGTCTCAATTGCCCTCTCAGCATGCCCCAGGGGCAGGGCTGGCACAGCAGGCCTGGGGTTCGAACCCCTAGCCCCTGCGCTGCTTGCGGGCCTTTAATCCGCTGAGCTATTTGGCCGGCCCCTGGAACAATATTTAAGAAAACTTCTAAAATTTTTTTTGAACTACCTGATGTAATGAATTGAAAATGAGACTACTGAAGCTAAGTAATGGAATTCCCAGTTAGCTTAATTGCACTTGAACTTATCAGCCCATGACTGTCTTCTCACCTGATGTTGGGGTTGACAGCCCACTGAGCAGGTTTAATAAGGTGGTTTTCCCAGCTCCGCTGTGACCGAGGAGAGCGGTGATCTGACCTTCATAGATATCAAGTACCAGACCTGGCATGATGTCGGAAAAGTGTCACTGAGAGCCCACACTATTACTTAACACTTCTGACATTTACGTTGATTATAGCTTGAATATTCAAACCACAATCAACCTCAAGATGCTCCCTTTTTATAATGTATCTCATATGATAAAGATTTTCAAGTTACGGCATCATTAGTGATATCCATTACGTGATTAACAATTTTTTATGCAGCTCAGACTCGTAGTGATCCTCCTGATTCCTCCTCCCTAATGCTGGGGTTACAGGCATGCACTACCACTCCAAGACCGCGTCACCAGCTCAGTGCACCCAGGGGCGGGGCCTGCACGGCATGCAGTGAAGCATTCTTTTTCTTAAAAGGAGACAGGTTACAGGAAAGACAGGTTCAAAATAACAGCGTATGATGAACTGAGAACAAAGAAGTCTAGGATGCTATCCTGTATCTTTCCAAACCATCAGATTCCAAATAGCACATCCTACTTTTAAGAATCACTATGTGATTTTTCATGCTCTTTCAAATATTTGAAATCTTGGCTCTTAATTCCTACTAAGGTGCTGCAAGAGTAAGGCACAATCAGCACGTCAAAAAGCCACATTAAATACAACGTTTATTACCTTTCAAAGCTTCCACTTTTTCACGTTGTCCCTTATATTCCTTTTTAAGGTTTTGGATTCTGCAAAAGAGGGAAAGGTTTTAAGAAACTTGTGGCTTAATCAACACTGTAAGCCTGCAAGAAAGTATGAAGAGACTTCTGATTTATACAGGCACTGACTGACGGCTCCAGGGTGTCTCATGAGGAGCAGCAGCAGCCTTGAGCCCTGCAGCCTCCCTCTGAGCATGTGACAAGCAGAGGGGCCAGCTGGCATGCAGAAATGTACAGGTGTGAGAATTATGACAGATGGCTGCAGAAGCTCAAGGTTGGAAGGGAATCAGTGCTTAGGAGATGCTGTGGTGGAAGGGGAGAAAACAACAACAACAACAATAACAGTACATAACCCAGACTCCAGGACAGTAAGATTAGGGTTTTGGAGCCAAATGAGCATGTGCTTGTAGTGATCGTCCTGTTTTCAGCTTCCCCAGTGCTGGGATTCCAGGTGTGCACCACCACACCCAGTCTCAGCCGACTCAGCACGCCTGGAGGCAGGGCCAGCACAGCACGTGGTGCTGGGGGATCAAACCCAGGTCCTTGAGCTTGCCTAAGCAGGAGCTTAGTCTGCTGAGTTATCTCGCCTGCCCTCAAATGGCTCTGTATGAAACACCAGCCATGACAATGGTAGCTCTGTTAGGAATACCACATGCTCAGGAGTGATTAAGTTCAGTTCTCTAGCAGTTCAATGGTGTTAATAGCAGTAAATATCGCTGAGGGATCATTTATAGAGTGAATAAGATAATGCACGCAGAGTTCTGGAGATTTAGTTTATCTCCAAATAAAAGGAGAACACAAGTCAGCAAGAAGAAAGGTTCCGAGCAAAGAGGTTTAAGCTGGGTGTGGTGATAATGCCTGTGATCCCAGCGTTCCAGGAGGTCCAGGTAGGACGAGCCAAGTTTAAAACCCAACCCACACAGCATAGCTATTCAGTAAGAGCCTGACTCAACATCCAAAAATAAAGAAAAGCTAACAAAATGAAAATGGGTGGGATGTAGCTTACTACAAAAATCTTCCATTCAGCCTTCTGTACACATACAAGCACACACACACACATCGTGAATTTTTAAAGAGATCATATAAAAGACTTGAACTGAGTCTTGGATCTACTGGCAGCCAGATTCAGTGCGTTTTATCTGCTTTACTTTCTTACATTGTCACAGAAGCTCAGCAGCCAGACTATTATTTTGCTTAGTCGGCTCTACCAAAACGTCACAGACTGAGGGGCTTCAATAGCAGAGTTTATTTCTCTGCTACTAATGCTAGAAGTGGGAAAGACCAAGATTCAGGGGAGAGCTGATTTGCCTTCTAGAGAAGCCTTGGCCCTGCCTCACAGAGGCTGCTATTTTGTTGTGTCCTCTCTTGGCCATCGTACATCTGTGTCTCTCCCTATTAACATACCAATTCTATCATCAGGATCCCTCCTTTCCCATGGTCCTGGTTAACCCTATTTAGTTCTCAAAGATCCCACCTCCAAATTCCAATCATGTGGTTTCAATATGCAAATTTTCAAAGGACACATTTTTCATCCATGGGACAGGTAACTCCCAGTTAGATATGGATGAGGCTATGGGGAAGATGGTCCTTGAGCTGCCATAGCCCCGAATTGGGCACGTGCAGTTTGGATGTCTCTTCCTAAACTCTGTGGATTTGAAAGCAAGTTGCTCAGGCTTTCCTGGTCTCCCTTTCCTGATCTTTTCTTCCTCAGGTAATCATATGTATCAGCTTACAGTACCCCTTCATTTTATCTAAACAATAAGAAGGCAGGCTTTTTCTGTAAGTTTTGTTGGAGCTCAACGTTTAGGTATGAGAGTCTAAATAAGGTGGATGCTACACTGTGTTTGGTGCAGTAGTGTGCTGTAAATGATAGTTCATTCTTCTGCCTTCTGCATTAAGAGTTGATAGTGAGCTGGAGAGAAGGATGTGGGATAGATGGCTACGAAGCTTCACAACAGTGAACTGCCCTGCTGGATGTTGGGGGCAACAGTGCAAACAGAACTGGCAGGCCACCTTGGGTTCTCAGGGTACAGACAAAACATTGTGCACTACCCTGACAGTTAGTATGTGAGGCTCTGCTTCCAAGGCTTCCATCCACTGTTCGAGATCATCTTTCTAGAGCATGGAACTAATCTTGTTACCTTAAATTTCCAAAACTTCACTACACTTTTCTTTACCTCCTGAGTAAATCCAAAGGCCTTCTCTCCATATGTAAGGCTTTCTATTATGACTCTGGTGGGGCCTGATTCCTCCATTGGCATAGAAAAAACAAAAAATGTAAAAGTACATTTGGAAGGAGGGCATAATCCTTGGAAACACAACCCCACCTCAGGAGGAATAAGAGTACTACTCTCTGTCGTCTGTTCACAGTGAACCTGTGGTTATAGAAACTACATGGTTAGTAAGTTTCATAAGGGTTCAAAACCAAAACAGAATAGTGGTAGATGTAGAGGAGAAAGAGTCTGTTGAGAAGAGAGATGAACACAACACTGATGGATGAATGAAATTTGAGCCAAGATCTAGGATCTTAAGGATTTCTCACAATCTGGAAGTCCAAGCACTCAACATTGATCAAAGCATGTACATCGTCTGTGAGCGAAGTGCTCTAGTGCTTCTCATTCTCCTGTTCCTTCCCACCCTTGTGGAGCGTCTTGTCCCCCTTTTTTATAATAGTGGTCTTTCTGTCTTCATGGCATTGGCTCTGAAGGGAAGAGCCCAGGATAATCACAGAGGGAAAAGGTGTGAGAAGAACTTATGTGGTGATGGCCTTGCCAATCACAGAAAGAGCAGCAGAGGAAAGGAGAGAAAGACACAAAAAGGAGAGAGGAAAATATGCAATTTTCATTGGATAGATCTTTTACTTCTTTGTTAGATTAATGCTAAGTATTTTTTATGCTATTGTGAAGGGTAGTGTTTCTCTAATAGAAAAATGGAGATGCATGCATTATATGCATTGGTGGTTATTGCTGTACAACAGATATTAGTGATTGTAAATACTGAGAGTGTGGGAAAGCACAGAGTGATGCAGAGTGACAGTGGCCTTTCTTGAGTGCACCATGCTGGTTGGAGGTTGGGGAGAGGGGACCCCGAGGCAGGGATCTCTGGCCTGCTCTCTGCCGCACCTCTTTGTGGGATGTTACCTGATGGCTTCTTTTCCGTGGAATTCTGCAGACACTGGTTCGAAGGAGTCATTGGATGAAGGATCAGAATCTGTTTCATCCTCAAGTGCCACGTGGTTAGTTTTTTTATTTTGACACCAAAAAGAGGACTTCAGGCAAAACATGGCTGAATGTCGATGTCCATATTTGGCTACAGGGCAAGGAGCAATTGAACATGAGGTCATTCGCCACTTGAAGAGCTTGTCACCTTAGGGTAACACATCCGCACGACACTGTTGATATTGAACTTGAACCTATATTAGTATTTTAGTGTGTGGTACACATACAAAAAACAGTGAGAAAAAAACAACTGAGATATCATCTAATTTGATACTTCTGATCTGAGCAGGTTTAGAATTATAAATGAAATAAAAATATCCTCAAAGCAGGATGAGATGTTTTAGGAGGAATTTAAATCTAATGTTAATGGGCTGGGGAGATAGCTTGGCAGACTAAGTGCCTGCCTAGCAAGATCAAGGACCCTGGTTTGATCCCTGATACAGTATGTTGTGCCCATCTGCTGGCCACTGAAACTGGGTGTGGTGGCGCATGCCTGTAATCCCAGCACTGGGGAGGCTGAAAACAGAAGGATCATTATGAGCTAGCTGAGCTGCATATTGAGACTCTGTATCAAATAAATAAATATATAAATAAATGATTTAATCGAACATTAAGAACAGCTTCTATTTCAACTTGGTCAGATACATTAATGTGTTTCCCATAGTTCCTGGCTATGGTGAGAAATAAGCTCTGTGCCATTATGTGACAGTATTACCTCAAGCTAGTAAATACCAGATTGATCAAAAAGATCAAAAATAGCAGAGACCTGAGAGGAGCAACAAAACTAGGTGAAACTTTTAAAAAATAAAAGCAATGCAGAGTTCAGGGTGCAGCACTTGTCTAGCTTGCATGAGGGTCCCATTTAATTGACAATATGAAAAAAATGTATATTAACGGAGGAGAAAAACTGAAATCCTTTTTTTGGTAATTCTCATCAATGCAAATATAGCATTTGATGATTATTAGCCTTTGCAGGAACTGAACTGAAAAAATTAGGAAATGCCAATAAGAGACTAATGGAACAGGCTATGGAAGTTTTCACTAGACAATAAGGGTAATAGATTAACCACATTTCTGAGTTTTGTGTGCCTTATAAGTTAATTCTACTAAGCATATACTGATGGTTTCATAATCTTATGTATGTATGCATGTATGTATTATGTATGTATCTATGTATTTGGTATGGGGCCTCACTATGCAGCTCAGACTCATAGTGATCCTCCTGTTTTCAGCCTCCCCAGCCCTGGGATTACAGGTATGTGCCACCATGTCCAGCATCCGGGGCTGGTGCGGCAGTTGGTGCAAGGGATCAAGCCCCAATCTCTACACTTGCCTAAGCAGGCACTTAGTCTAATGAGCTATCTCAGCAGCCCTGATTTCATCATTTTTTAACAGAAGGAAGAACATAAATATTTGCCTTAAAATAGTGCTTTTCTATACTAATAAGTGAGATGAGCTTAGATTGACTATTATACTTATTAAGACATCTATCTCTCTTATAACTAATTCTGCTGAGTATATATTGCTTGCTTCATCATTTTTAAAAGGAAGAAGGAAGAACATAAGCATTTACTTTATATAGGATTCTCCATAATAACAGGGAGATGAACCCAGGTTTCTGATCATAAAATGTTAAAATATCTATCGTGAATTTTCTACCGGTTGGCTACTTACAAATGAAAAAATGTTTTAAGAGAACTCCACTTGTTTGGTAAATCATCAAAATCAAGCACTTTTCATTCATATGCACTGAGATTCAAAAGCAACCTCAGAATTAATCTGAATTAATTCTGTGTGCAGAATGAATGCCCTTACTCCACATCTGTGCTTTGTGCTCCTCAGTACTGCTATGAGTGTCCCCTGGTCACGATGAACATAACTGTTCTGTAGACACCATTAAATGTTACCCTCTAGGGTGGTCTATTAAAGTTTATTTTAAAAAGTAACTTTGATTAACAGCCATCTGTGCTTCTTTACTGTAAGGATAAAGAAAAGATTTTTCACTTCCCCGTGCTCTAAAGACGCTCAGATACATCACATCTGTTGTGTACACTGCTCACTTAGTTTGGTAGTCGTGTCAGAAACCAACCAGGATATCCTTTTCCCCCAGCAAACTCAAGGTAGATGCCCTGTCTTGGAATTTGCATTCTCATAGAGCTCATGAAGTGTTTGACCCTTTCTACAAACAGTCTCAGAAAGGACAGTTTTCAAATCCTGTAATTCATAAGCAGTGAAAATAGCTTCTTTCTCTTTTGAACAGCGGCACATGCATCTATGGTTTCTTACCTTACAATACCTCCTTAATATTCATTTTTCTTTTAAAATTACTGAAAGTAGTTTGCTCATTTCAGACTACAGAAAGTAGTCTTTCTTCATTTACTTAACAATAACCTGTATTTTTATTTATTTATTTATTGTATTTAGGGCAGGGTGTACAGGGTGTACAGAGTCTCACTGCATAGATTGGACTTGCTTACAGCCTGTTTACAGCCCCCCAAGTGCTGGGATTACAAGCATGCACCACTCTGCCCAGTCTCAGCACACTCCGGGGCCAGGGCCAGCACGATAACCTGTATTTTAACTATGTCTTGATTTCAATAACTGAACATCCTGTTATCACTCTCTTACATCTGTTTTCTTAACCTTATCCTTATAATTCTCCATTTATTGTAGTTTACGTTATTACATAAATTAATAGAACAATTGTATTATCTTCAACTTTTATTTTCCACACATTTCATTTGCAGAGTATTTCTAACATGCCAGAACTCTATGGATTACAATCTCATTAGCTCTACATTTTTAAAAACTTCAAATATGGTTTCACTGAAGCATTTTGTATCCATTTCTGAATGTTCAGACACTGGTTTTTTATATTTCAAGCTTTTGATTGATCTTGTTAGGGCCAAATATGTTCTCTTCTATTTTAAAATAGGCAAAATCTTTTAAGTAGTATTTATGGTATTGATTGTTATAAAAGTTTGGTCTGTAGGGATTAAGAGAATGACATAATTTTCTGTTATCATAATACATCATATTGCTCAAATGAATTCCACTTGGTTATTACTGAGTTACCTCATAAATCTTTCTTGGCATGGATTTGTTATTTATTTAAATTGTACAACCACATACAAGTATGCGGCTGATCTGCATATACCTTACCTAGAAGTAGTTTTGTATGATTTCTTTCAACCTTGTTCCAATCCACCAAAATTAAGTAGATCTTTCCTGCAACTTTATCCTTTAATCCACCTGCACACCCTTTTGACATGCCCTTCTCTATACACAGTAGTTTTGTGATTTTGTCCATTCAGATTAGATAGGGTTCTAAGGATGATAGTTGATAACACAGATATAATGACATATCTCAAAATTTCTGATTTGACTGGATTTTTTTTTTTTTTTTGTATTTTAGGGAAGGGTCTACAAGGTGTTCAGGGTCTCACTACTAGATTAGACTCATAGTGACCCACCTGTTCATACCCTCCCAAGAGCTGAGATTACAGGCATGCACCACCACGCCCAGTCTCAATTGCTGTCTCAGCATGCCTTGGGGGCGGGGCTGGCATGGCAGGCCTGGGGATTGAACCCCTGGCCCCTGCGCCTGCTTGCAGGTGCTTTAATCCGCTGAGCTATTTGGCCGGTCCTGTGACGGCTGCTAGACATCATTCTACATCCGTCCTTTCTGAAACAGGAAGGATACACTATTTGGAAATCCTTTCCATCCTCTCATCTGCCTATGTCTCTACGAGCTCTTCACCAGCATTTATCTGGTGTGTATTCAGAAGGGAACTTCAGAGGTACACAGGTGAAAGACTTCTTTCTCCATAGGAGAGATGATATGTTCAATATTCAGTTATATTTCATTAATAACCCAGTGTATGCTCAGTGGGGAAACGGTTAAGAACTTCCAAGTATCAAGAACTAGAATTCTTCATCTAACTCTGGCCTCCAGCATGAGCAGCATAAATCACCCCTAATCTCTTGCCAGTGCCTCTTTTAAAAAGAAACAGCCAAAACAGTACAGTAAGGTCTTAAAAAGCGATTCTGTAAACTAAGTACCTAATGCATCAGACTTGTTTTAGACAAATTCGGTGGACAAGTTAGATAAGTTATGGTATACACATTGCATATGTTTATTTTAAATAAATGCACTTACTGAAATTGTGTTGGATTACAATCATGCTACTTACTGGGCAAAATTTTGTCCAAATATACTGTCAATGCCAAATAGAGGAGAGAATCAAAAACCAGTACAAAAAAAGTAGCTATTATTGTGTACGAGTTGTTTGAAGCATCCAAATGGACGTTAGAATTCACATCATAGTCCAAATGTATGATCTGTAAAAAAAAGATTTTGTGAAGGATTAACAGAACATCAGGAATTATTGTCTCATCTTTGTTAGACACTGGGGCTGCAAAGACGAACAAATCACCACTGTATTTTTGCAGAGCTCAGGCCTACAATAATGCATAGCAAGCTGCTTATCTAACTACAAACCACAGGTAACCATGCATACAAATCCTAGGAGGAGGTAAACACGCAAAGGAGGTGGTATTTGAACTGGACCTAAAGGGCCAGCCAAATAGCTCAGCAGATTAAAGCTCCTGCAAGCAGGCTCAGGGGCCGGGGGTTTTTGATCCCCAGACCTGTCATACCAGCCCCACCCCCAGGGTACGCTGAGATGGCAATTGAGACTGGGTTTGGTGGTACCCACCTGTAATCCCAGCTCTTGGGAGGCTGTGAACAAGTAGATCACTGTGAGTGCGATCTAGTAGTGAGACCCTGAACACCCTGTAGACCCTTCCCTAAAAATACAAAAGAAAGAAAGAAAGAAAGAAGAAAGAAAGAAAGAAAGAAAGAAAGAAAGAAAGAAAGAAAGAAAGACAGAAAGAAAGAAAGAAGAGAAAGAAAGAAAGAACAAACAAACTGGACCTAATACAAGACTTCATCAGGATTAGAGCTGGGAGTAAAAGGACAGTGTTCTGGAAAGGAGTCCCCATTTCACAGTGAAAGCAGAGGAGTGAAAGTACTTTAGTCTTTGCACAGACAACAGAAGAATGATTTAATTTAATTTCACATCAAACTATCTTAACACAACCTACTAGTAACATGAGCTTTCCTTTGGCATTTTCATAGTTATGGTGGCATAACCAAAATGAAATTTTCTGATAAGAGTTTCAGTTTTACATGGACATGCTAATTAAATTATTCCAAATTATTTACAGATATTTGTGGTGGTATGAAGGTTATACTTCCTGAACTTAGATCAGACAAATGTTCATGGGACAGGCCATTAGGGCTAGAAGCTGAGTCACATTGACTGTAGAATACCACCCTATAATTAGCAAGTTTATTTATTTACTTACTTAATGTATTTGGTACTGGGTCTCAATACACAGTTTGAACTCATAGTGATCCTCCTGTATTTAGCCTCCCAGCACTAGGATGACAGGCATGCACCATCACGCCCGGTCTTGGTGGCTGGCTCAGTGTGCCCAGGGGTGGGGCTAGCATTGCATCTGGTGCCAGGGATCAAACCCCAGTACCTGCACTTGCCTTAGTAGGCACTTAGTCTGCTGAGCTATCTCGCTGACTCAATTAACAACTTTCAAAGTAAACAGATAGGCTGAGAAAGAAAAATGAAAGCACCCTAGCCTTCAAATGTTCATCTTTACAAACGTGCAAGAGGGAAATGTTAACGCCTGTAGATGATGCACGTATTCCTGAGGGAATCTTTCTAAAACGTTTCATAATAAGCAAAACAGTTACCTTGACTCTTACCTGGGCCATGCCAGCGGTGAAAGCAAAAGGACTAAGAAGACATAAGATCCATTCCAGAAACACAGGGAGATGTCTGTACAGTGCTGTGAATCCCAGGCTGCCCCAAAAGATGATAAGTAGGAAGATGGCCAAACCAGTGAGGTGGGGCTTCTTTATCAACACACTCATCAAGAAAGCCAAGGTTATCTGAGAGGAGAAACAATTCAGGTGGTCTAATGCTTGCAGAACCAGCAGAAGCACAATAACAGGAATTTTATATTGGCTCTGTTTGAATAATTGTCCTCGAAAGACCTTTATGGTAAAGCCTTGGTCCCCAGCCTGATGCGTCTACTGGCCAAGTAGAAACATTGAGAGGTAGAGTCTACCGGGGAGTCTTTTGGCCATTAAGGGAACACCCTTAAGCAGGACTGTAGGACTCTAACCCATCCTTTTTCTCTATTTTCACGTTCACACCATGAAATGATCAGTTCTGATCTGCCAGTGCTGCCACCATGACACACTGCCTCACTCTAGGCTCAAATAAAGGACCAATCAACCACGGATGGAAACCTCCAGAACCATGATCCACAGTGGAGCTTTATTTCTTGTAAGTTCACATTTGTTATGAGGCCGGAAAGCTGGCTAACGCAATATATAAAAGTGTATTTGCATAGCATGTGCCAGATCCTGAGTTTGGTCCTTTACACTGCCAAAAACCAATTCAAAACAATGTAAAACAAAACTATATTTCATCAACTCTGGATTAGAAACTGCCTCGCTATAGATCTCAAGTAAATACCACAACTATGACATCACATTTGAAAGGAAAATCAATACCCCATAATTGGAGAGAGAGAGAGAGAGAAAATTAACCAACTTACCAAAGACAATCCATAGAGGAAAAAGAGAATGAAGACCACTGTGAAGCCAGTGAGCACAATAATTTGAGTAGATTTTACAATGACAGCCATCAAAACAGCCATGACAAGGATGAAGCCAGAATACATGGAGCCCCAGGAAAGCCTAGCAGGGAAACACAGACTTGGCTCAGAGTGTTATTTGTTACACATCCCTTCACTTACTCACTTAGGTGTTCAGCAGAAGACTTGTGACGCTCACCACTTATTAGGGATCAAAAGAATGCAATGGCTAACAAATCAGAAGCTCATATGTCATAGGGGAAGGCAAGCAATAGACAGGTACATTGGTAGAATAAATAGCTAAATGCAAATTAACAAAACATTGAACAGGGTCATACAATGAGAGGTCTTTTGGGCTGGGGAGATAGCTCAGCAGTATAAGTGCCTGCCTGGCAAGGGCAAGGTCCTGAGTTTGATCCTCTGTACTGCATGCTGTGCTGGCCCAGAAACCGGGTGTGGTAGCGAATTCCAGTGCTGGAGAGGCTGAGACAGGAGGATCACTATGAGTCTGAACTGCATAGTGAGACCCCGTTTAAAAAGAAAGAGCGCAAGAGGTCTCTAGGAAGAGTGTTTCAAGGAAGGTATCAATCACTACTGGTCATTTCTGGCTTTGTTCTTTTGGTAAAGTATATGTAGACATTTGGACAAAAATAGATGAAGAAATAGGAGTCAGAATATCTTTTCTTTCATTTTCTACAGTACTGGGGATTGAACCCAAAGCCTTGGCACTGAGCTGAATCCCCAGGTCTTCTCTAATTCTGTATTTTCTGACAGGGTCTCCCTAGGTAGTAATTACCCAGGCTGGGATGTAACATGGGGTTCTCCTGCTCCAGACTCCTGAATAGCGAGGATTGCAGGCATGCATGTCCAGGCCCGGCTAACAGTATTATTTCATTTTTTTCTAGAATTATGAAAATCCACTTCTAGTTTAAAGATTATATAAAAATAGGCCATAACTGCCAAACTTTATGTGATATGAATGCTTTTAGATGCAGATATACACATAGGACAAAAATAGGTAAAGACAAATACATGGATATCAAGATGTATTGGGCAAGGAATAGCTCAGTGGCATAAGTGCCTGCCTGGCAAGCACAAAGTCTTGAGTTCAATCCCTGTTAATGAAAAAAAAGGATGTGCTTTTCCTCATACTGTTAATGCCAAAAAAAGAAAGTTTTGTTCAGGGGAAAGAATATTTTAAAACATTAAAAAAGATTTTTAATTGCACAGGGTTCAAATTTTCTCTGCTACCTCTTAATTAGAAAATTCTGAGAGGTTAATCTCTTTGAACTTCAGCTTTCTCCCTTGGAAGCTATTAAGATAATTACACTAAATTAGGTAATTTATGGATTTAATACAGCCACTGGTTTACTGTGGGCTCAAAATGAACAGGTGGTTTCCTTGTACTAAAGTAGAAGATGGCATCATGTTTTAGGGAGTCTGGTTTTGTCACTTCTGTTTTCTTTCTTTTGCTCTATACTAGAAATCCAACCTTGGCATGTAGCTAGACAACCGCTCTACCACCAGGCTTGAACCCAAGGGCCTTCGCACCTCCACACTCTCATGCCAACTGTTCGTGTGCTTTCTGAGGCAGGGTCTCACTGTGTTGGCCAAGCCAGGCTCACAGTTGTAATTTCCATGCCTTGGCCCTCTCAGTAATTGGAATCACTGATGTGAGGCCTCTCACCTGCCCCTCAAGTACAAATATTAATGCCCAATTGTAATGTTTCCATTTTTATAATATGCTTCATTTTCTGGAAGTTGTTCCTTTGAGTGTTTGTACATGCTACCTCTTAATATTATTCAAATGCTGTACAAATAAAACAGCTCAGCCTTTTCTAATGGGAGGAAAATAAAAGCCCTGACTTCTTACTGCTTCCTCATGTGCGTTTATTTGGATTTTTCTTAAATTGTATTAGCTTTTCTTCTCCAATTCTTTGCAGATTTTCATCGTCTTTTAAAATATAATGATCCCAATTTCCTTCAACATGGAGAAGGAACACTCTAACACAGAAAAGAAAGACAATCGGAAGACTACCATCATAGATCAGATTTGTCTTCTTTTTTCTGCACTCCGAATATTGAACACTCAGTGGCCAAACCTTAGTTGCTAACTTGCATTACAGTCTTCCCAGGACATACTGTTTTCCAAAGTTTCATGGAATGACATTTCCTAGGCATTCTGGGAAGAAGTATAAGCACACTCCTTTCTTTCATCTTCATGGCCAGTGAGAAATAAATAATATTATCCTTGATTTAGAAAACAGAAAACTGACGTTAAAAGAGTTGGAATGACTTGTGCAAGATGGGAGCTACTAAATGTGAAGGGAGGTGGGGATGTCCCCGGCTTCCTAGCACCCAGGCCTGTCCTCTTACCACTCAGTACTTCTGTTTTTACCTAGGGAAGCTCAACACTCAAAGAGAATAATTGCTTCCTTCTCTCTGTGTTAGAAAATTGATGACATATTCAACCTGGGATGAAAACCGGGAGCCAATGTTAATATAGCAACCGAAATATATAGTTTGTTGCACATTGGAGACTTCAGCTTGGTTTCATCCAGACCTGGTTACTAGTAACTGAGAGTAGCCCATGTATTGTAGGTACCCTTGAGGATCAGAAGACATCTACAGGGTAGATATCTTTCTTTAAATCCAGAGAAACACAGAAGGGTTCACTTAACAAGTGAGTAGGACCATCTCATTCATCTCTAACACACTACCACATGAAAGCATCGAGTATAAATAAGGTATTTTATAGCTCTGGGGAGACCCTTCAGCAGACTCCTTCTGTTTATGCTGAAGGACGGGTTGCAGGCATAAGCTTTACCAGAATGCTGACTCTCGAAGGCCCATCACTGTCATCAGTGACTTCATGTATTGTCTTTCGTTGGAGACATTGACTGATAAATAATATATAAATGCAGAAAAAGAAATAATGCAGAAGAAAATGAAAAAATCTGTTGTCGTTCCTCCTTGAGCAATAAATGGAAGTATCTTCATATTTACGCCAGTAATGGACATCAGCGTTTCCATCACGGAGTGATTCACTGCGACCTGAAGAAAGATATTAATGGGAAATGATCATAATCCTGTTAAGGCGACTTCAAGCTCTTTTACTGATTTTAAGGAATCACAAACATATCATGCACAAATAGATAGACCAATACATTCTTTGTAGCTCAGCCCCATTTTTCTCTGTAGAACTCTTAAGATTTAATTTTGACTCCCTAGAGTGTCTTTGCTTATATTCCATGAGAAGAAATTCAACTTATGCCTTGAGACTGGCTGAAAAATGACACTCAAATAGCAAATCTTCACTGATATTTCTTATATGAATATCTTTTGCTTCACTGTTGGCCTAGAACACCATGTAAAATCCTATTGCCAAGCCCTTACTATAGCTACCTATCATGTTTCCACCTCCCTCACCACCAGGATCTGTGGCTAAAAGGGTGGACCCTGAGCTTATTTTCTGACCCTCAATGCTTTGCACAATGGTTTGAATATAAAAATTGTTTGCTATATTATGCCTGCTTTATGAGGTGAATAAATTGTACCATTTCTCTGCCTGTCAAACTTTAATTTATAGTGCAATTAGTTTTCCTTAACTTAATACTCACTTCTATGATAGCAGCATTAATGGCAGCTTGCAAAGCTACGAAACCTTTCTCCCAAAACACTGAATTTTCACAGGTGAGTTTTCCATCCACTACTTGACAATGAGCTACAAAAAAAGCAGAAATCTTCCTTTATTATAGTATGGGAGGATACTGGTTATTTTAAAAGTCAAACTTTCCAATGTTCCCAAATGTATTCAAAAGCCATAAAAATGCAGTGTATTGAAAGACTTCTCCACTGACATTTGTAGAGTACAACCAAGAAAGAATATACAAGAAGTTCTTTGTTACTATTTATAAACCAACTAACACTGACTATTCACTCAATTTCATAATTCCTTTCATCTCAGAATGTTTTTACTGAGATCTTTGTGTCTTGTACACCCCTAAAGAAAACCCACTGAACTCTTAAAAATATCGTCAACTACTAAAAAGGAGACTTTTATTAGGGTTTTATTTAGGAGTAAGATGGAAGTAATAGAAAATAAAAATTCTTAATAAAAATATATTTAGCAATATAGGTTTTACAGAATAAGGATGGATTTCTTTTATGCTCAGAAAACATATCATGGGTTAGCATAACTCATTTCATTTCTGCTATCACACACACACCCTTGTAATTAATACTGTAAGAGCAGAAGAAAAAGAGTATTTCCTATTAGGAAGCTTACCTGAATGGTCTTTGTGTTCCTTGATATTAGGGATTCTAAGGCCCCAGGAAAATTTCAGATGATAGGAGAACATATCATTAAAGATAATTCTCACTGCATCTATTGAATCATTGAAATCCAATTCCATCATACTGTTTTCATCAGGCCAACCCATAATTGTTCTTCCTGTCATGGGAAGAAAGAAAATGCTTCAGTAAGATTGCTGTGTCACCCAAAGACAGCACACCAAGTTCATTTTTTAGAGGTATTTCTTCCTCAAATGCAGTACTGAGTCTAAGAGACTCAAAGGTGAAGCAGACAATTTCTACTGTTATAGAGTAAGTCAGAAGTGTTATGTGGCACATATCCTTACTTTCAGCACAATATTCTTATTCAAAATATTGCCTTTCCAATAATTAAAGTATAATGCATTGGAAATAGTAGCAATTCAATGCATCCATCTAAATTCCTACCTACCTAACAGCAAAACAGTCTTCATTTGACTGTGATACCAAGGTGGGCAGACTTTTAAAGATGTCATCAAATTGTTAAAAATGTCAAATTTTATTGAGAAACTGTTTATTCTAAGATATGTAATATAAAAGGCTGCTGTTGGGCTAGAGAGATAGCTCAGTAGAATAAGTCCTTGCTTGGCCCTGAGTTCAATCCCCAGTTCAACAAAACAAGAAAGAAAGAAAGAAAGAAAGAAAGAAAGAAAGAAAGAAAGAAAGAAAGAAAGAAAGAAAGAAGAAAGGCTGTTGCTAATGAAACTCAGGCCATTTAATGAACATAATTTCACGGTCTGGAATTTGTTTAGTGCATATTCCAGATGCTGAGCAACATCTTCTCTTGTGGTCTGTATTTCCCATAATCCTGCAAAGACTTAATCAGAGCCAGGTTTGCTCCTTGTGGTTGGGTTGTGGTGATCAGTTATCAGGAGCCCATAATATCTGGTTGCTTCTCTTTTGAGCTATTAGCAACTGTTAATACTCAGTGCCTAGATCCTCTCTTAGTGAAAGCTTCAAAATGGTGATGCCATATTCCTCATTTCTTTTTCATTTGCTAGTAAAAAGGCAATTATAAAGTAACACTTTTTCATCGAATGTATGGTTATGGAATAGTATAGTTCAGAGAGGATACATGCTGTTATTTACCCCATTAGTAAAAAGTTTTCGCTATAAGGATTCATTTGCTACTATCCTCCAATGTAAAGAAGAAATTACACTTTCCCTTTAAGAAAAGATTCAAATCCAGGCAATTAGGAACTAAAAGGGTGGGATTACAAGGGACTCTGCAGCCAGAAGATCATCTGCATCTACTTCGTAAATTTGTATTCTAATAAAATGGAAATGCAAATGAAATGAACAGATTTCTAGATACATGTGAATTCTCAAAGCTGAATCAAGACGATAGAAAAGTCCTAAGTAAACCATACCAATCAATGTACTCAAATACATAATTAAAAACCTGTCGACAAATGAAAGCCCAGTCCTGATAGATTCACTGCTGAATTCTACAAGAAAATTGAAGAAGATCTAACACCACTACTTCACAGACTCTTTAACGAAACTGAAAGGGAAGCAACACTTGCAATTCATTCCCAGAAGCAAGAATTAGCCTGATATCAAAACCACAAAAAGACCCAACTAAGAAAGAACTACAGACCAATTTCCATAATAAACAGACAAAAAAATCCTCAATAAGATAGTGGCAAACATAATGTAGCAAATAATCAAGATGATTATATACCATGACCAAGTGGGACTCATCACAGGGATGCAGGGATAGTCTAGCATATGTAAATAAATAAGAAATATAATATACCATATTAACAGAGTCAAGGACAAAGATTATATGATCATCTCAATAAAAGAAGAGAAAGCTTTTGACAAAGTTCAGCACCCATTCATGATTAAAAATCCTATAGAAAATTGGAATAGATGGTCTTTATCTCAATGTGATAAAAACCATCTATGATAAACCAACACCCAACATCATACAAAATGAACAAAAACTTTAGTTTTCAGTCTAACATCAGGAATGAGAAATAATGTCCACTGTCTCCACTCTTATTCACATAGTCTTGGAAACTGTAGTCAGAGCAAATAGAGAAGAGAAAAAAATAAAGGGAATGATTGTAGGAAAGAAATAAGTTGAATTTTAATTCTTTGAAGTTAGCATAATTCTCTACATAGAAGATCCAAAAACTGCACTAATAAACCGCTAGATTTAATAAGCAAATTCGGTAGCTGGGTACAAAGTCAACACTCAAGAATCAGTAGCCTTCCAGTACATGGATGAAAAACTCACTGAGAGAGAAAGTAGGAAAACAATACCTTTCACAATAGCATTCAGCAAGCAAGCAAGCAAGCAGGCTATAAAAGAACTCTCTATTGAAAATTGCAGTATTTTGGAAAAGGAGACTGAAGCAAATATAAGAAAATGGAAAGATATTCTTTGTTATGGTATATAAAGAAGCAATATAGTAAAAATGGTCATACATCTAAACAATAATTGTTACATACATTTAGTGCAACTCCAATCAAAATTCCAGCAGCATATCTCACGTAATTAGAGAAAAAATCCTAAGATTCATTTGTAACTAGAACTAGAATATTAAAGGCACTTCTGGGCAAGACAGGCAAGGGAGAAGTAACACAATCTCTGACTTGGAATTATACTATAAAGCTACTGTAATAAAAGCAGGGTAGTGCTGGCATAAAAACAGATCTGAAAATCAATGGAACAGATTAGAAGATTCAGAAGCAATTCCAGACGTACTCAGCCACCTTATCTTTGACAAAACTGCCAGACACATTCACTGAAAGAAAGGTAGCCTCTTTAATAAGTGGTGCTGAAAACATGGCTCTAAACATGCTGTAGATTGAAATTGGACCTATATCTTTCATTATACACTAAATTAAAGTCAAAATGGATCAAAGATCTAAATATCAAAGTGGAAACATTAAATCTGCTGGAAGACAGAGTAGGTGAAACTCTTGACATTTGTGTCTGCAAGACTTTACAAAGAAAACCCTAATTGCACAGGAACTATCATAAAGAATCAATAACTGGGTTCATTTCTATTAAAAACCTTTTAGACAGCAAAAGAAACCACCAACAGAATGTAAAGACAACCCACAGTGTAGGAAAAAATATTTTCCAGCTATTCCTCAGACTAAGGGTTACTATTGAGAGCAAATAACTTAAAAAAAAATTCACACCTGCCAAATTTAAGGACCAAACTCCATAAAAAATCATCTGAGATGAATTCACATTTCTCAGTGAAGAAATACAAACATCAAATAAATACATGAAAAGACATCACTGGTCATTTTGGAGGTGCAAATTAAGAACAACATTAAGATTTCATCTCACCCCTAAATGAATGGCTGTCATAAAAAAAGTCAACCAGTAACACAAGATGAAGGAATTTTGGGGAAGAAAGAACCCTTCTCCACTGTTAGTGGAAGTGTAGACAGGTACAAACACTATGGAAATCAGTGCGGAGATTCCTCAGAACAGCAGGATTGGAGGTCCCATTTGACCCAGGAGTTCTTCTGAGTATCTTTCCAGAGGGATTAAAAACATCATACCGCAGCAATCTATGTACACCCCTGTGTATAGCAGCACAATTTATCATAGTTAAATCTTGGAAATAACCCCAATGCCCATCAGCTGAGGAATGGATAATAAAGATGTGGTCTTTTTACACAATGGAGTGCTGCTCAGCTATGAAGAATGATAAACTGGAGACTTTTAGAGGTTAGTGGATGCACCTTGAGACCATACCAATAAGTGAAATAGACCAAACGCATGTGCGCAAACATCATATTGTCTCCCTAGTGTGAGAAGCTAAAAGCAAATAAGATCCAAAGTGTACAATAGATATTATAAAATTGGAAGAAACTGTTCAATGGAAAGAGAAACTGGGATTGAAGGAAAGGAGAAAGGAAAAAGCAAACAAAGGGAAAAAGTATGTTTGATAGTTAAGAGAGTTATATTACTAATTTCTCTTAGATATTGAAAAGAAAGTCTTGTGGAATAAGTGCTTATCTGGCAAGCTCAAGGTCCTGAGTTCAATCCCTGGTGCCAGCAAAGGGAAAAAAAAAAGAAAAAAAAGTCTTATGCCAATATTATTTGGATTTGGATGACTGAATGCCTGTGTGTGTCTTGTACTTTGAACAACTGGTTTGGAGATAACAACATGCAACATGTTCATTATTTTTATCCTTTTATTATTTTGTTTTCAAATTTTGTTTTTTTTTCTCTTTAAAAAAGTTTAAAAAGAAATTAGATTTTCCTTTTAATCTCATTCTGAATACTCTGGTTTCTCTTAGTATCATATAAATCTTTCACCTTTCCCTAATCTCATTGTGAAAGCAGTTAAATTTCTATTTGGCAAGTTTTGAACTACAATTATTTTATTTATTCAATCTCAAGTTTAGACACTTTAGCTCTTGAATCTGTTTGGCATAATCAATAAGTCCTTGATGGCTTCCTCAACTATCTGGAATTACAAGACTCTTCATTGTTTAAGGTTCATGTACTGAACCTCTACTTCTCTTTTTTTCCCAGTACTGGGACTGCATCTTGAACCTTTGTATCTCTTTGGATTTTGTAGGTCTGTACCATCACTCTAGGCTTGCATCTCCTTTCCTCAGATTGAGGCCCTCAATCTTCAAGTAGCACCAAAAAAATAAGATGGTTCTATAATTTCCTATTTGGTCTATTCTATTCCAAGCATATAGTCCAATAGCAATCTAGACCCATACTCCCAGCGTGATTATTAACAATGGCTTCAGTTACTGTGCTGGAACTGGCTGGGTCTGCCTGCCACTGGGTGCTTGCTAGCTCCTAAGGGTTCTCCTTGAGCCCTTCAAGTACTCCATTGCTTCCCTTGCTCTCCTACCACCCTGGAGAGAAACACTACCACACTCTTGTGGTTAACAGTGCCTCCTCTTCAATCATTTATGTGTAGGGATACAAGGAAACACTTTGTATCTTGTTTTATTGTAAAGATCGTCCAAGAATATTTGGCATTGCTGCTCGGTTTCTATTTAGAATTGTGTGCATTTGATGAGATTAAGAAAACCATGTATCATAAAAACCATGTATCCCTTCCATTCAATCTTTCCAGAATCTTCTCAAAACATAGATTATTCTTGAGCTGACCTCATCTCAGTATGTACTACAAGGGCCAGCCAGATAGCTCAGCAGACTAAAGCACCTGCTTAGGCAGAACATAGTGGCCAGGGTTCAGTACTCAGCGTGCCATGCCCACCCTGCCCCTGGGATGCACTGAGATGGCTATTGAGACTGGGCATGGTGGCACATGCCTGTAATCCCAGCACTTGGGATGCTGAAAACATGAGGATCACTATAAGCCCAATCTACTTGGTGAGACCTTGTAGACCCTGTACCAAATATATTTTTAAATGTCCTATAAAGAATATTAATCCTTTAACATAGAATTGTTTAAATAAGACACTAATCAATGGAGTAAGAAAACCCTCCTGATACTGAAAAGGAACATACATTAGTGCTGTTAATCAACTCTGCAAACATCAAATTTTAACACAATTTACAAGGAAAGGCCATAATGAATTTGTATATTTTCCAAAGAAGAAAACCATGATGAACTCCCAGAAACATACCTTTCATAAATGGGGCCGAAGCTACCTTGTTCATTATCTCTTGAGTATTTTTGGATTCAGGCGTGAATGCAATGATATAATTAGAATCATTAAAATGATCTACACGTCCCAGATCCATCGCTGGCATTTGAGAAAAGTCATGGACTTGATGTAAATTGAAAGAAAAGAGGAATGCAAACAGGAGTAGAAGAAATGAGAAAAACCATTCCTACACAGCAATGAGAGAGAGAGAGAGAGAGAGATGAAATAAATCAGTAGGTCTTCTACCACATACAATTGAAACCACTTAATTCAGTTAGGAGGTTTACCGCCCCATTTTATTTTTTCTCCTATTTTTTTTAATGGATGGATTTACTTTTGTACTGTAATCTACGCATTTTGGAATAGGCACACTATCCAAGGTAGATGTGACATCAACATCAGCTCTGCTTGAGAATCTTATATTTATCATTCTTCAAGGCAAAGCTGGGTTCTTTCGTGAGTGGCTGAAAGTTTAAGGTCATTCTGGAAAGTAGATAGCATAAAACAGAGAAGGAGCATCCATCAGCAGGAGCGAGGTCATAGTTATATCTGCTGATGTCTGCACATAGAAGAAGACAGACTTATATTATTGTTTATAAAAAATGAGTTTTCAGTTGTCATTGTGACCACATTTGGAATTGGGTCTGAAGTCATAAAAAAAACATGTTATTATTTCAGTTATAATTCGAATCACAGGGCTTTGCAAAGAGGTATATAGCATATTCATTCCATGCAATTTTATCTGTATTTGTTGGTCTATGTCTGTATCTACATAGACAAAAGGAGATAATACTTACTTAAAGGGACTTAGAGGTTTGGATACAAGCCACCTATATAGTTTGACCCCACTTTTATATCTGTATTTATATAATCCTTGCTCCATGCTGAGAATATTTTTGTACACTCTATTTGCTAACAATCTAAGTATTCAGTGCATACTTTTTATTAATTTATTTATTTGATTAATGGTCTCACTGCACAGTTCAAACTCATAGTAATCCTCCTGTCTCAGCCTCCTCAGTGCTGAGATTGCAGTCATGCACTACCACACCTGGTTTTGGGCTGACACTGCATGCTGTACCAGGGATCAAACCCAGGTCCTTGCACTTGCCAGGCAGGTGCTTAGACTGCTGAGCTATCTCCCCAGCCCTGTGCATACTTGTTGAATGAATATACATGCACACATGCACACACGCGCGCACACACACACACACACACACACAGCATTTAAAAGACCAACTCAACTATGACCAACTCCTCAATTATCAAACTTATTAGTGCTTTCAACTTATGACGTTTTTCTACATTTATTGGATTTTCTATACAAAGCACATCTAATTATTGTTACAATACAAGCAAGTACGCTTTAATGCAAGTAAAAGGTCAAAGTGGTGTTTTGCTTTCCTGTTTCTTTAAATGCTCACTATATTTTGCAAACCAACATTTTCGCATTACTGAAATTGCCACATTGTCTGTATCCATAGTTCAATTGTTTCAAACCACTATAATTTGTCTTTTGTATCTTTGTTGATTGACACATCATATTTATATGTATTTACTGAGTGCATTGTGATATTTTGATTCATGCGTATATTGGATAACAGGATAACTACCAGGTTCATCACCTATCACTTTTTTACTTCTTTATGGTAAGAACATCCTTTTGTATTTAAAATTCGAGTCAATTCTGAATTAAATCAGGACTAAATTCTCTTTCTTTGGCTTTAGCCTTAACGTGCTGTGTAAATGTCTTCATTAAATTAAGATGAGGATGCAACTAGAAACAATACTCATAAGTGAAATAGATCAAAGTCACGTGTGCAAACATCATATTGTCTCCCTGGTGCAAGAACCTGAAAAAAGCAAATAAGCTCTAAACTCTACACCGGACATTATGAAATAGGAAAAATATTGTTTAAAAGGAAAAAGGACCTAGAATGGAGAAAGGGGAAAGGAAGGAAGGGAAAAGGAAAAGCAACCAAAATATAAAAGTTATTCTACTAGTTCCTCTCAATTCACTGAAAAAAGGTTTATGCTAATATCATTTGAAGAATGCATGCAGTTATCTTGTACTCTGAGTAACTACTTTAAAGATAACAATACTCAGCGTATTAACTCTTGCTATTCTCCTATTATTTTGAGATGAAATTTTAATTCCTTTTCCATAAAATGAAAAACAATTCATGTGAACTCAGATGTGAAGAATTCTTTGTGGTACAGAAACACAGCTTCATGCTTTAGGGAGTCTCTGAATAGGACTGCTTTTAAAAGTATCCCTAGCAAGACATAGCAAGTACATACTTAAACTCAATTCAAAACAAAACAAAAAAATAGCAGAGTCCAGAATTTGGAGAAAAATCTAGCCTGCTAATTAGGATTAGAATGCACAGAAAACACTAAGTGAAGAAGGTAAAGTGTTTGTGTTGCTGAGAAAATACTTTCCCCCTCTAATAACGAGAACGCAGACTCTGAACCATACCAACAAGGTCTCCCTTTTCGTTCTCCACTTTTTAAGGCAGTTCTTGCAGAGGAGAGTCCACACTTGTTGACTCACGCTTATATGCCTCCTGTTCATTTTGACCTGTTTATTTTTAAAATGGGGAAGTAAGGAAGTAAATATGAATGTCTTAAATAGAAAGCATTGTGCAATGTAATCAAAAAGAAACATTTTAACAGCTGTTTCCAATTGCATGCTTAGAGAAGAATGCTCAAAGACTTTCTAAAAAATAAGACAGAAGAAAGAACTGTTCCAACTCAGGATTAAGAGAAGTAAAACTTGGAACAACTGAGAAGCATTTCTTTCTCATAGTACTGACAGAATTTGGAGAGTTTACTGGCATCGAGAGCTGTTGTTCCCAGGCAATTAAATTGTCTAATGGGGATAAAAGAATGTTATACACCACTGATGGAAGTATAGACTTAGTCATTTAAGTGATTTATTACATTTATGTTATTAGTGAACAGTATCTTATCATTAATTAGTGCTGCTCCTAGATACATATCCCAAGAAAATTCTTCTATGGGCTCACTAGGATGAGCATGGATGTTTTTCATAATGCAGATAATTAGTGCATGGTGTAGTAAAGCAAATTGTAAAGCACACTGTCCAAACAGTACTATGTAAGAACTACAACAAAGGTTGTTGTTCTCTACCTAGTCACATAAAGCAATATGAAAAACATAATGCTAATTTAAAACAAGAAAAGTTTCAGTTACATCGCTTATATAAATTTGTGCTCTATGGAATGTACATTTTCCAAAAAATGTCCAGGAACTAAGGGATGACCACCAAACACCAAAAAGAAAAGGTCACCTATCCCCGTGGGAAATAGGATTGGAGGCCAGGTGTGAAACAGGAGCTAGAGATGAGAGGAAATCAATCATCAAAACAAGATGGGCTCATCGTGGGTCACACCCTCAGGAGCGTGATTCACTGCATCCTTCATTTACCTTTTATAATTGAGGTCTGAAAAAAAAATGAAGAAAAATATGCATAAATGTGATACCATCCAAATCCAAAGGCAAGCAGATAGATAATATTATGACCATTACAAAGAATTTATACTATTCATCATAGCTGTGGTCGCTAGCTCCATGGGTGAGCTCCCTGAAATGACACCATTGAAAGGCCCCCGTGCCTGCCCCGTAGCTCAGTTCTTTAAGTGGCTGCTTCAACAAAGCCATCAGGCTCAGGTTGCTGTGGTTCGATCCCCACAACTCAAACCAGCCAGTCATGCCTTGAAGGCATTCGGAGCAAAAAAAAAAAAAAAAAAAAAAAAAAAAAAAAACAAAAAAACATTTCTGCCATTTGGGGCCGTGGAGATGGCTCAGTAGGATAAGCGCTTGACTGGCAAACGCAAGGATCTGAGTTCAATCCCCGGTTCCAAAAAAAAAAAAAAAAAAAAGGCCCCCATAACTGAAAAACCACCAGGAAAACCAAACCACACATTGCCTTTGAGAAGTCAATACCGTGACGAGTCTTGGCATCTGCATAAGATGTGGCCCAAGTGGGTACTCTCCTTTCTTTCAATAAACTCACATGTGCTCTAAAATATAAAAGGAAAAATTACATGATCTTAATGTGGTTGCTTTAGCTTAGAGTGATCTTTTCCACTGCTGATTTATCAGGGAGAAAAATAATACTTACCTCGGTAGCACAAACATCTAGTTAGCTTACTGAATAGGAAAAATCATGTAACTTAAAATTAATAAATTAGTTACAAAAGCCAGTCATTTCCCAGTCAGAATACCTTACATTCAGGGAATACAGGCATTACACAACAAATTAGACAGCAATTCTCATTTTTTTTTTTACTGTGATCAGCAAAGTATTACACAGTTAATGAAAGTATCCAAGTTTTCTTAATGAAAATATTCCTGCCAGTTAAAACAGTTTGAAACTCAGAAAATCTTGTATCCTCTAATGCTGATAATTCCTCTAACAGCAAAACCAGACAATACAGAATAAGTACATCTAACTTTAGAGCTATTTCTTATTTGCAAAGAGGTAGCCTAAAACCACATGCCTTTCAATCTGTATTTAATAGTCTATTCTATTAGACATGCTAGTTGTCCACACATCCTCTGGCCCTGGTGCAAAAGCGGAAATTTTTCCAAATGATTATTTAGTTATACAATATAAAATACTCATATGCTTTGAAAAGTAGTAAAAATGAGTAGTAATTCACTGCATTTCATGATTTTTCACCCACATGTTTTGGTATCTCTGCTTCTAGGCTTACTTTATATTTCCAAATGTAAAATAAATGATTTAGAGTTTAACTTACTCTCGGGAAAGCTGAAGCAAAAATCTAGAAACGGTTCATCCACGGGTCTTTTTGTCCTGAAGAAGAATTCACATTCCTTTTGGGTCACTACAACATCAGGGTTTGGATTTCACGTTTATTGTGCATAGTTTCGTTTCGGACTGATTTCAGAAAGGGTTTACGGTCTCGCCCCAGACGGGCTGCCAAAATCCCTGTGGTCACACGAGTGAGTCCTGCGCTGTTTTGCTCTGCGTTGTTTCCTGCCAGCTCTGCAGCAGGGAGTTTGTGGTTGCAGATGGTTGGCCGCGCACAGCCAAACATTAGGAACTACTAAACTAAGGAGAATCTGGTCTTTCCTCAGTTGTATTTTTTTTTTTTTTTTCATTTTAGGTTCTCATGGGAGGGCTGATCCCTACCCCACACAATTAAAGATTAAGAAACCATAATTGGAAGGAAAACAAAACCTGCTCATAATTTTTAGATCAGACCTCGATCTGTGTCCCACTGGTCATGATAATCGTGTGAAACCTACTTTTCCTACCTGCAATTCTTTCGACATTTATTGGGTTTTACTCTTTGCTAATTATGTAGGATCAAAAATCGTTCAGTAAGCAAAATCTGTAGCAGCAGTCTGCACTCAGGCACCCAGGAGACAGCGAGACAGACTTCTGATTGCTTATGTATATATGTTCTCTCTGTAGAACGTACAGAGTAATTACATTCAATAATAATGCTAATATTTTGTGCTCTGAGAACGTAATTATGGAGGCTTGTAGCTCACCAGAATTATTAAAGTTTCAGTTCTGGCCTTCGCGAACTTCCTCTCCTGAATTCTGGGCTTTTCCTTTGATAGTTGCCTTTTTCTTTGGCATAGACCATACTATGTAATTACTGTGACACTCTAATGAACCACACTCATTGTCAAACTTCTTTTCAGTATTTTAGTCCAATGTGTTTATTTGCTTTTCTCAATCAGCTTTAGATTCAGCTTGCCAATGAAATTAATTTTATAGAATTTCAAAAATTATTTGAATTCTTTTTTTTTTTAACCAGGGATCGAACTCAGGACTTTGCACTTGCCAGGAAGGTGCTTGTGCCGCTGAGCTCTTTCTCTGGCCCTAGAATTTCAAAAATTAAATGGTATTTTATTGTTGTCTGTTTGTTTGTGTACTAAGAATGCAAACAAGGGGCCCTATAGCACTGAGCTGCTTGGTCAGACCATTTTATTTTTCTTCTGAGACAGGGTACCTCTAGGTTGCCCAGACCTGCCTCAAATTTGAGATCCTTTCACCTTGACATTCCAAGTAACTGAAATGATAGGCATGGGCCATAAAGCCCCATCGACTGGCACCAAGCATAGAACCCAAGGCCTCTAGCAAGCTAGGCAAGCTCTCTGCCACTGAGTCACATCCCCAGCCTTACATTTAAATATAGACACATTTCACCTGGACTAGTAAGAGACTAGAGTAAGCATAATTATAATCAACTTCACCTTACAGATGACAAATTTTGAGGCATTAGATGTTACACAGAAGTAGCACTTCCAGCCTGGTAGATATGGCAAGCTCATGTCACAGGTTGCTGAAGAATGGAGTCGAGGACAAAGGTGGCTAAGAACAGGAGAGAGAGCCCCTGAGAGATCAGATAGGCCCCAAAGTGGGTGTCACTGAACTGCTTTGTCTAGGGGTATTCATACAGTAAAATCACATCGCAGGTTACCTTGGATCAAACTGCAGTCAACCTACAGGATTGCACTTACTTAGCCCAGTGTTGACCTAATAGGTCATACAGCATCCGTAGCATGGAGAAGGACGAAGGCACTTCCGGAAGGGGTAGGAGAGAGGGTCAGCATGTTCTGGTCATCTGTCTATGTGTTTGTTAAATTGTTTAGGCTTAGTGGACCAAATGTGCTGGTGTAGAGCTTTGGAGTACTGTTTATCTCTGAGGAGGCATGGAGGTTTAGCTAACGCAGCTCCACTGGGGGTCTAGTTTCTATCTGCTCAGCCCTTGGCCCCAGGGTGTTTGCCTCATCTCCATTCTACCTGGGCCCTGGTCTCTTTCTGACTGCCTCTACTAATGCCTCCATTAATCTCTACCTCTTTTAGTTTGTTGTGACATCAAATCTATATAACCTGCCCAAATTCAGTTGATGACTTGTGGGACCTAGATTAAGCCTTAGAACATCTCCAGAGTTAATGAACTGACATCATGAATGCTACACAAGTTCTCATTCATGTATGTTTCTGTTGATTCAAGTAGCTTCACTTGGGCACACATGTTTTTCAATTTTTGTGGCCTTTTCCTTCACTTGATTTGCAGTGGTGCTCTCCAGTGCCAGAAGATGTATAAGGTTTCTATGACATACTTTGATTCAGGCTGGCATGCTTTTCTTGGGCTCTTTACTTGCTATTTATATAGAGTATTTGTTCCCCTGGGGTGAGCGGAGCTCTTCTTAGCACTGTGGCAAAAACCCACACAACTTGATTTACAAGAAAATGTAGGACAAGAACACAATAAGGGTCTCATGAGGCTTTCTACCTCATTCTGACCAGAAGGAGTCAAACTTTAGTGGATGAAACAACAAGCAGGAGGGAGAGTTGATGAGCTGAGTTCAAGAGAAAACCAGAAGCAAGAAACAAACAAAGTAAACCATGCAAACAAAAAACAGAAGCATAACTGCCACCCAATAAAATGCAAAGGATATAAGAGAAAGAATCGTCAACTAGGTCTTACTTAGCAAACAAAGATACATATACCTATGAGTAAGGAATGTGAAAAACGCAGAGAGCACATGACAGGCTTTGTGAAAGCAGCAAGGTGTGGGCTTAATACCCAGATGAGGCAGACAGAGGGTGATAGGGCTGTCTGTAGGGAGCAAAGAGAAGCAGGCCTTTATTATAATGATTGAAAGAAAGCAAGGGACATTAGGCAGGAAAATGCTAATAAACATCTGGGACCCAAGTTCTCTGGCTGTCTCACATGTCAGAGGGCAGAATCCCTGAGCCATCTGGTGGAAATCTTTGGGTGTCTCCAGATGTTTGCAAATCTGCAAGATTCCTCATCCTATCTTATCTGTTGTACAGCATCTGGTGTTTTCCAATGACTGCCTCAGTGCTGAGCTGAATGTCTGCTGAGAACAACTCCTCTGCTGGCAAGCAAGTTGGGTGCTGGGAGAGTCATGTCTTATATCAGCTCTCTTTCCCTCACTCTAGGGTCACTATCTTACTGTACTAGATACACATGCATCCCCTTACTTAATCACTAACTCCAAACTGCCTTCCTGCCTGCCACCAACTGACTCATCACAAAAGGGCAGGAGGGAATCCCACAAAACCCATCCAAAGGAATGTGCAAAGGCACCTACATGAAAATTACAGCCAGCCAGCCAGCCAATCAGGTTGGGACAAGTTCCAGGTACCCACATGGTGGAGAGTCACTAGTCCTGACAAATGAAACCAAGGAGAAAGGGTGAGGGGAGTCCATCTTTCCAGAACATACAGGCCTTCATTTGGGAGCAAATTTCTGTCTTCTGCTTTTTTGTCCTTACAAATAGTTTCTTCCTGCTTAAACTCTGCCCCACTATGCTCAGGTTATGATCCCAGCTGGCTGCTCCTCCCAGCAGAGCAGCAGTTCTCGGCCAAAAAAGAGACAAAGAAGACACAATACCTGTGTTGTTTCTAGAGCCTTTTCTGGTCTTGGTTTCTGTCCTTCCTAAATCCCAGCTGCACTGCCTGCATGCAGGTTTTTTCAGTTGTACTCCACAAATCTGTCTTTGTTCTCTAAGAAATTAATGTATGAATTCTTTTTTAATGTATATAGTACGGGGTTTACAGGATCTCATTATACAGATCAGACTCATAGTGATCCTTTTGTTTACAGCCTGCCAAGTACTACGATTACAGGCATGTGCCACCACATCCAGTCTCAACCCTTATTTCAGTGCACCCCAGGGGCAGGACTGGCATGGCAGGCCGGGGATAGAACCCTTGGTCCCTGCATCTGCCTAAGCAAGTGCTTTAATCCACTGAGCTATCTGGCTGGCCCAAATAAATTCTATATGTCCTGTCTCATGCATTTTTTGCATGCAAAAATCCTATGTAAGATATATTCCTGTTCTCTACTTTTGTGTCTAAAATTCTCAGGTATAATTTGACCAATCTGTATTATCTGCCTACAAGATACTTCTTGAAACAGTATAATTTAGTTTTTCCTTTTAGTCAGTTTTCCACTTGTTTTACTTTCCCTGGAGAGAGTATAGAGTTGCCAGAAGAGGAGCAAGTCATTCCCAGTCATTTTATTTTACAGTTTATTTAAATCAAAAAATTTTGGCCAAATATTGTGACACAGGACTGTAGCACCAGCAACTTGGCAGGCAGAGACTTACTGGACAGAGTCTGAGGAGGTTCTCAAGCCAGCCTTACCTGTCGCAGCTTCCCTGACTCCATTTCCAGGGCAAGATGCATGAGCTGGGGTGAGGATTTCTACTGTCTGTCAGAATACCCATTTGGCAGGGCATGTCTGAGTGTCACTCCTGTGCAGACAATTGACATGGAGATAGGCCACCAACCGACACTGCTGCTTCCTTGAGGACTGAGGAGGGGCAATTAATGAGTAAAAGAGGTGGGGTATTAATGAATGGAAAGAAGCCAATTTACTGACGCTGTAAGGCTTTTCAAAATAAAATCTTAAAATTCTGATTTTTTTCCTCCTCTCTTTTTTGTTTAAATCTATCTTTCCTTTTTCTATTCTACAAGACAGGAAGATCACTTGAGCCCACAAGTTCGAGACAAGCCTAGGCAGTATAGTAAGAAACTTGGGTGGAGGTGGCTTTGCAAATTGAACTCTGCCATTTTCCATTTCTCCACCTCTGCACTAGTCATGCTTCTTCTGTTCTTCTGTTTAAGTTCCTCTTTACTTCTTGGCTAGAAAGTTCTGAATCTGTGTTTCCATCTACCAGTGATGACCTTCTATGGTAAGTGTGGGAGACTGGCCACTGGTGGTTACTTTTACCGCACAGCTGAACTGAGCCAGCATGGTGCTGGGTGAGGGAGGCCCGCCTGAGAATGGCTTCCAACAGGGTAGGAGAACTGGACAAAGAGAAATACATTGTTGAGAGGTTTTACAACTGTTGGTTTTTCTAGGGCTGCTGTTGGTTCTCTTGGAGGATTTTGCCATGCTAGCTTTCCTGAAGAAAGGTGTTATCGTCAAA